TGTCTATCAAACTTCAGATTTTTTTTCCTATGAGTGTGCACCTTCAGCAACTTGCTTACTGTCAAGTTAAATTGTGTTGTTCGTAGTTTTGGTTTGCTTTGGTTTCTTATGCTTGCTTTTATTAAGAGCTACAATTGGATACAGGGACTATTTGAGCTAGATTTTATTTTTATTTATTTTTTTGAGAGGGAGTCTCACTCTGTCACCCAGACTGGAGTGCAGTGGCGCAATCTTGGCTCACTGCAACCTCCTCTTCCTGGGTTCAAGCTATTCTCCTACCTCAGCCTCCTGAGTAGCTGGGATAACAGGTGCCCACCACTGTGCCCAGTTAATTTTTGTGTTTTTAGTAGAGATGAGGTTTCACCATGTTGGCCAGGCTGGTCTTGAACTCCTGACCCCAGGTGATCTGCCTGCCTTGGCCTCCCAAAGTGTTGGGATTACAGGTGTAAGCCACTGTGCCCAGCCTTGAACCAGATGGTAAATATTCGTGTAATGGTCTCACCTGTTTTTGTTTTGGCAAATAATCACACCATAGCTGTGGATTTTAATTGGAGAAAGATAGTGGTTTTTAGCAAATTAGAACTATTGTCTCAGAAGTAATTAATCTAAGCTTCACATTTATTCCATAGAATTATATTGTTTTAATTATAGTGAACATATAATTCACATGTGATATATAGCAGTCATGTTGTTTTATTCTCCACAGGTATGTTTGCAATTCGTGCTGATCATGATTTTGTAGTACAGGAAGACTTCATGAAAGCAGTCAGAAAAGTGGCTGATTCTAAGAAACTAGAGTCTAAATTGGACTACAAACCTGTGTAATTTACTTTAAGACTTTTGATGGCTGCATGACAGATGTTGGCTTATTGTAAAAATAAAATTAAAGAAAATAATGTATGTAGTGGCAATGATGTCATTAAAAGTGTATGAATAAAAATATGTCTGAGTAACATAAAAATTAGTAACTCAATTTTTAAAATACAGAAGCAATTTGTATGTTAATATTGCATTTATTGCAGCAAGTTACAAAGGAAAGGTGTGTTGAGAAGCTTCTTGTATTTGCTGTGTGAGCATTTTGTAAAACATTGAAAGTGGTTTGAGATAGTGGTATAAAAAAGCATTTCTTATGACTTATTTTGTATCATTTGTTTTCTTTATCTAAAAAGTTGAATAAAATCTGTTTGATTTGGTTCTCCTACATATATGTTCTTGTCTTGTCTTTTTTTTTTTGGAGACGGAGTCTCTCACTCTGTCACCAGGCTGGAGTGCTGTGGCTCAATCTTGGCTCACTGCAACCTCCGACTCACTGGTTCAAGCAATTCTCCTGCCTCAGCCTCCCAAGTAGCTGGGATTACAGGAACTCACCACCATGCCCAGCTAATTTTTGTATTTTTATTAGAGGTGGGGTTTCACCACATTGTCCAGGATGGTCTCAATTTCCTGACCTCATGATCTGCCTGCCTTGGCCTCCCAAAGTGCTGGGATTATAGGTGAGAACCACTGCGCCTGGCCTATTGTCTTTTCTAAGAGTATATATACTATGGTCCTTTAGGTTCTTTAGTAAGTAAACTATTTGATAACCCAGATGGATTGTGGATTTTTGATTATTATTTTAAAATAATACACATACTTGGTGTTGATAAGATCATCTTCTTAAATAAAACATGGATGTTTGTGTATGTCTATACTTTATTCCTTCCAGGAAGTATTTACATATTCTTGATCTACTGTGATTAAGCTCTTTGTTGGCTAATTGAAAATATACATGACCTCTATAACTTTTTAAAGAGTATTATTAAAAGTAATATTTGCTAATATGTGACTTGGTTTTCTTGATTTATGTAAGATGATAGGTCCCTGTTGAGGATGTGAAAGTCTGGACCCTCTTCCAGGAAAAATTCTAACATATTTATACACACAATTTTGCGTATACTATAATTTCAGGAAATTTATAGTTTCCCAAGCTCATCCAAGGACCCTTTAGGTATCTATGGATGCTTGACTAAAAGTGTATGTTGTAGGGAGTGTAGGAATGTTAGGAATGTTCAAAATAAGATTTCTGTTACCTATTCATGATTCTTTCTCATATGGCAGTAAAAGCTATAACAAATTACAGAAAGGAATCATCACTGGTAATTATCAAATATACTGGCTAAAAAAAAGACAACTTCAGATTCATAAAGACTAAAGAAACAAAAATATATGATGTAGCTAATTATACAATTAATCTTCAAATTTAAAACTTCCTAGCAGGACGTTATGTGCCTTTTTATAATTTTAAAAGGTGAAGAACAGTTAAAATAGTGATAGAGAAAATGGAGTGCTCAAGTTGGCCATCTAATACTCAAATTATTATATAGTTTACAGTTTATTATACTATTTCTATGTGTTGGCAATGCATTTTATGTGACAATATAAAAAGTAGAATGGGCCGGGTGTGGTGGCTCACACCTGTATTCCTGGCTTACCTTTGGGAGGCCAAGGTGGGCGGATCTCGAGGTCAGGAGTTCAAGATCAGCCTGGCCAACATGGTGAAACCCTGTCTCTACTAAAAATATGAAAATTAACCAGGCTTGGTGGTGGATACCTATAATCCGGGAGGCTGAGGCAGGGAATCACTTGAACCCTGGAGGTGGGGGTTGCAGTGGGCCAAGATTATGCCACTGCACTCCAGCCAAAAAAAAAAGTAATAGAATGTAGGGGGAGGTCTAAGTCAAATAGCTCTGTGATCTTTTCACTTATAGTTTGCATTTAGTTAATTATCTCGCCTTTTACTTTTGTGCTGGTGGTGGTTTGGTTTGGTTTTGCTTTTTGAGACTGAGTTTCCCTCTGTTGACAGACTGGAGTAGTGCAGTGGTGCCATCTTGACTCACTGCAACCTCCGCCTCCTGGGTTCAAGCGATTCTCCTGCCTTCGCCTCCCGAGTAGCAGCAACTACAAGCGCACGCCTCCACACCCAGCCAATTTTTGTATTTTAGGTTGAGATGGCTTTCACCATATTGGCCAGCATAGTCTCCATCTTTTGACCTCATGATCCCTTCCAAAGTGCTGGGATTACAGGCATGAGCCACTGTGACTGACCTGGTGGGTGGTTGCTTTTAAAGAATCAATTTGGTGTACAAATATTTTCACTGTGGGTTTACAGGCACATGCCACTGTGCCCAGGTAATTTAAAAAGATTGTTTTTTAGCGATGAGGTCTTACTATTTTGCCCAGGCTGCTGAACTCCCTTTAAAAGATAAGGAAAGCCGGCTGGGCTCAGTAGCTCAAGCCTGTAATCCCAGCACATTGAGGGGCCTAGGCAGGTGAATAACGAGATCAAGAGATTGAGACCATCCTGGCCAACATGGTGAAACGCCGTCTCTATTTAAAATACAAAAATTAGCTGGGCTGTGGTGGCGCGTGCCTGTAGACCTAGCTACTCAGGAGGCTGAGGCAAGAGAATCGCTTGAACCCGGAAGGCGGGGGTTGGTAGTGAGCAGAGATCCTGCCACTGCTCTACAGCCTAGTGACAGAGCTAGACTCTGTCTAAAAAAATAAATAAATAAAAGATATTGAAAGCCATGTGGCTTATTAATTTTATTTTACTTTTTATTTTTATTTTTAATTGAGACGGAGTTTCGCTCTTGTTACCCAGGTTGAAGTGCAATGGCACGATCTCGGCTCACCGCATCCTCCGCCTTCTGGGTTCAGGCAATTCTCCTGCCTCAGCCTCCTGTGTAGCTGGGATTACAGGCATGCGCCACCGTGCCTAGCTAATTTTTTGTATTTTTAGTAGAGACGGGGTTTCACCATGTTGACCAGGATGGTCTTGATCTCTTGACCTCATGATCCACCCGCCTTGGCCTCCCAAAGTGCTGGGATTACAGGCGTGAGCCACCACGCCTGGCTTTAAATATTAATAAACAGAATTAACGGAAGAAACTTTACAGTATTATATATACTGAGGCAGCTATCATTTCCTTTTTCTGATTTTTTTCTACTTGCCATTCTTTCTTGAGATTTTCTGGGTAATCTAAACTGAGTTGTATTTTCAAGTACTTTTTTTTTTTTTTTTTTGAAACGGAATCTCACTCTGTCACCCAGGCTGGAGTGCAGTGGCGCCATCTCGGCTCACTGCAACCTCCGCCTCCTGAGTTCAAGCGATTCTCCTGTCTCAGCCTCCCGAGTAGCTGGGACTACAGGCGTGTGCCAACACGCCCGTCTAAATTTTTGTATTTTTAGTAGAGACAAGGTTTCACCGTGTTAGCCAGGATGGTCTTGATCGCCTGACCTAGTGATCCACCCACCTCGGCCTCCCAAAGGCTGGCATTACAGGCGTGAGCCACCGCGCCTGGCCCTACTTTTAGAGATTTTAAAAGTATTGGGTCGTTCAATTCTTTGCTTAAAAATGATGGGGGTTTCATTTTCTGTGTGGCACCACGTGATTTTTAAACTAAACTCTTCACATATTAGTCATTTGGTTACAACCTCAGCATAGATTGCACAGAATTTTGAGAGGGGAGAAGTTATAGCTCTCCTTTCGGACGCCACTGTCTGGTGAATACAGGCATATGCCACCATTTTTTTTTTTTTTTTTTTTTTTTAGTTGTGACGGGGTTTCTCCTTGTTGGTCAGGCTGGTCTCGAACTCCTGACCTCAGGTAATCTGCCCTCTTTGGGCTTCCAAAGTGCTGGGATTACAGGCGTGAGCCACTCACTGACCCTGGCACTGGCTGTTTTTTTCTTGTATTAAAGAAGGGCTCTACGTCCTGTCTGGAAAGGGCATAGCTGGCTCGACCTACCCATTGCCTTTCCCAGGACCTTCACTCGTCCTGTTCCACCGCAGCCCCGCCTCCCCAACGCCGGGTGCGCCGTTGCCTGGCTGGCTCCCAGGCCCCGCCCCCGAGGCGCCTCTCCCCACCTCCCCCAACTGCGTCTGCGCTCTCATGAAGGGGCGGAGCAGGGCGGTGGCGCGCTGACACCTGGCGGCGGCGGAGGGCGGGCCAAAGGCGAGCGTGGGCTGGGATTGGCTGAAGCGGCACGGGTGGAGGGGGGCAGGAGGGAGGCGGGGAGACAGTTGTCGGGCTGGTGTCGGTGCTGGATCCTGGGCGGTCTGAGGGGCGCGGAGAGTCGCGGGGAAGGAGACGGCAGCGGCATGGCGGCCGGGTATAAGAAGCCCGACCCTCCTCTTCCCCGTTTTCGTCGCCGCCACCGCTGGAATCACTGGGACCCTCTAGTTTGCGTGTGTTAGTTGTGAGCCTGCCGCCCTCCTGTCAGCCCTCCGCTCCACGGCCCTCCTTCCTTCCGTCGCCGCAGTCAGCCCGACCGTCGGCCGGCCGGGTAACACTCTCCTACCCCACCCACCAGCCCGCGGGCCGGGACCATGGAGGACGTGAAGCTGGAGTTCCCTTCCCTTCCACAGTGCAAAGAAGACGCCGAGGTAAGTCGGCCCTGTGGCTGCCACGCACAGGCCTCTCCGTGTGGCTCCGGCCGAGGGGCGACCCCAGGCCCCAACCGCCGCAGTCTCCACTTGCGCGGGCGCCCTGCCTCCTGTGGGCGTCCCGGGACCTCTGAGGCCGAGCATTCGGCGCCAGTCCCTACTGACTCTAGACCCCGCGGAGGTGCAGCGTCTGGTGTACTTAAATTTAAGGAGAAGAGGAAAAGCAATCCCTTAGTCCTTAGGCTTGGCATCCAGGACTGACCTGGAGTAAAGTTCCTCTTTATTGTCAAAGTGATACGAGAGCGAAGTTGGTTTTAATCTCCATTTGAGGAATATCGGTGGTGTAAACGATTTACTTTCGGGACACGTGGCCCCACATGTGGAATAGACCCGGCGCCTGAAGTTTGGAAGCGCGCCTTCGAAAAGTTTCCCAAAGTTTCTTATTTGTTTTTAGACAAAGCTATGACCTGCACAGTAAAGTGTCTCAAAGCTAGCTCATCTGAATCTGAGAAGTTTAATCAGAAATCTTGCTCTTTGGAGGAAATTAATATTGAAACTAAGATTCTATGTACCTTTTCTCCTGGCTTCGAATTTGTGGTTATTTTTATTCCACCTTACATCCCTGCATGCTGTTTTTACTGGGATTTTTTTTCTCCAGCTCTTGCTAGTTTAACATTTTACGGCATTGCAGACTACTAAATTAAAATCTGGTGGTTAAATTAACAAGGATTAAGAAAGAACGTCTAGGGCCGGGCGCGGTGGCTCACGCTTGTAATCCCAGCTCTTTGGGAGGCCGAGGCAGGTGGATCACGAGGTCAAGAGATCGAGACCATCGTGGTCAACATGGTGAAACCCCGTCTCTACTAAAAATACAAAAAATCAGCTGGGCGTGGTGGTGCGTGCCTGTAATCCCAGCTACTCAGGAGGCTGAGGCAGCAGAATTGCCTGAACCCAGGAGGCGGAGGTTGCCGTGAGCCGAGATCGCGCCATTGCACTCCAGCCTGGGTAACATAAGCGAAACTCCATCTCAAAAAAGAAAGAAAGAAAGAACATCTAAAATCTCTAGTTATAAATATCTTTAAAGTAGTTGGGAAAATAAAGCCCTATTTTTAGGAGACCAATTTATTCCTAATATTCCATTGAATATCTTCATTTGGGGTTCACATTTTAGTTTGGAGGGCTCTCTTGTGGTATTGATGCGTGACAGTTACATTTTGTTTTAAGAGTAGAGACTTTGTGACTGGGTATTGCCATTCCAAAATGGAGTGCAGTTGTGCCATCTTGGCTTACTGCAGTATCAACCTCCCATGTTCAAGCCATCCCTTCACCTCAGCCTCCCCAGTAGCTAAGGCTACAGGTGGGAGCCATCACGCCCGGCTAATTTTTCTTTCTTTTTTCTTTTTTTTTTCTTTTTTTGTAGAGATGGGGTTGTTGCTCAGGCTGGCCCCCAACTCTTGGCCTTAAGATCCTCCCGCCTTGTCCTCCCAAAGTGTTGGGATTGCAGGTGTGAGCCACCATACCTGGCCCAAGAATATACCTTTTTTTTTTTGAGACGGAGTTTCGCTGTTGTTACCCAGACTGGAGTGCAATGGCACGATCTCGGCTCACCACAACCCCTGCCTTCTGGGTTCAAGCAATTCTTCTGCCTCAGCCTCCTGAGCAGCTGGGACTACAGGTGTGCACCACCATGCCCAGCTAATTTTTGTATTTTTAGTAAAGACAGGGTTTCACCTTGCTGACCAGGATGGTCTCAATCTCTTGACCTCATGATCCACCCGCCTCGGCCTCCCAAAGTGCTGGGATTATAGGCGTGAGCCACTGCGCCTGGCCGAGAATATACTCTTAAATAAGAAAAAAGGAGGTCATATTTAGGCCAGTTATTAAAATGAATTTATACTTAACGTACAGTAATGTGAATGAGGAGTATGCTTTTATTTACTTATTTTTGCGATGGGGTTTTGCTCTTATTGCCCAGGCTGGAGTGCGATGGCATGATCTCAGCTCACTGCAACCTCCACCTCCCTGGTTCAAACGATTCTCCTTTCTCAGCCTCCCAAGAAGCTGGGATTACAGGCACCTGCCACCACACCTGGCTAATTTTTGTTTTTTAGTAGAGTCGGTTTCACCATGTTGGCCAGGCTGGTCTCCAACACCTGACCTCAAGTGATATGCCCGCCTTGGCCTCCCAAAGTGCTGGGATTACAGGCGTGAGCCACTGAGCCTGGCTTTATACTGTATTTCGATTCTTCATTTCAATTCACTATAATTACTTTTATCTTTTTCTAACTTTGAAAATATTTTTTATATTTTAACATTGGGACTTTGTGTTATTTTGCAACTTCTTTATATTGGTCTGCATTTCAAAAACAAAATGAAGTCTCTGTCTTGTGATATGTGTTAAAATAATTGAACTAGATAAGAATGTTAGGTCAAGTAAGATGTAGGAAAGACTCTTTGATAAGCATTTGGCATTTTACATCAGAGGTAGCAAGTACCCATCACATAGCATTCTTCTTTTATCCATTTCAGATATTATTTGTTGATCAGACACTCTTCTTCCTGAGTCTTGGACCACGCAATGTTTTAGTTATCTACTGTCAGTTGATTAGAGTTGGCATGAGAAACAAAAAGTCTATTGACATCTCTTAGAAGATCAGTTTTTGGAAGAATCTTCTGGAATATCTATTCTGTTCTTTAGTGAGCAATTTCATCCATTATATGAAGTAACATAATAATTCCAGAAGCTCAGTTATTTAAAGAATGCCTTAAGCTTTGTTTCTTGTTCACTTAAATTTTCAGATGTTTGTGAAGCCACACAAGTCTGATATTTTTATAAAATGTTCTTAAAAGAATAATGTAACTTTAAAAAATCTGCATACCTGTATGTCACATCTTTAGCCTTTAATTGGGTGACTTTTTAAATAATGTTATTTACTTTTAATTTTTGTTTTCCTCCCATTTTAAAGGAATGGACCTACCCTATGAGACGAGAGATGCAGGTATGGCAACCTTTTGTTTGTTCAAACCAACCTGTTATTATCATAAAAACAAACTTAGTTTTCAGGATTTGAGACCTGCTGATTCATAATCTGTAGGTTCATCATTATGTATTTTAAATAATTAATTATTTTAAATATTTAAGGTTAATCTTGGATCTTAAAAAGATGGGAAATTAGATTATGTGCTTAATGAATCACTTTCTTTTTCCTCACATGAAAATTGGATACTATCTTTGTATTCCTTTTGAAAGCGGTTTGCTTTCTTTGTCTAGATAAGGAGGTTGACCGTACAACAAATAAGTGTTACTGGTTTTATGTCCGATTTTCAATCAGCTGCCATAATTAAGTCTTTTAGAAGATCAAATGGAATACTTTCAGTTTGGAATGAATTAAATGATAACTAACCATCATAGCAGTTCATTTTCCTTTGCATTTCTTACCATTTACAGTCAATTCTGTCCCAGGATTAAGCAGTATCTTGTTGCTGGGAATTCCTTGACTTCTAAAAATCTGTTTCTTTTATGTATCTGTATCTGTATCTTTTAATGAAAATTCACTTTGAAAAAAATATATGAGTACCTATGAGGCATTTACTTGGTGCTGTGAGGAATGCAAAGATGACTAAATGTGAGAAATCAGTCAGAGATACAAATAATTATGACTCATAGAACTGAACTATAAAATTACTGTTAGTATCTAGGGTGTGACATATCCAGACTTAGAGCTTTCTATATTGAATTTACATAGAATAAATCTGAATTCATCATCTGGAAGGTACATATTTAAATTGTTGAAACTTTGTCAACAGGTGCATATTTGAGTTTGGACTTTTTTGTTACATTAATCATTTGCTTCTATTAACTATAGATAATAGTTTTAGGTCGGGCATTGGAGTTCATGTCTGTAATTCCAGCAGTTTGGGAGACTGAGGCAGAAGGCTTGCTAGCGTCTAGGAGTTCCTAACCGGCCTAGGCAACATAATGAGACCTCATCTCTATTTTTAAAAGAAAAAAAAAGATAAAAAAGATACATAATAGTTCCAATCTTGTTGTATCTTGTTCTGCTTTTGATTTGGCCAAATATGGTTTTATGTAGGTCCAAAGGGATGATTTCCTTTATGCCTATTTTATTTCTAGATTATAGCAGAGAATAGAAGTAAAATTTAAAATATTTTATTACTCTAAAATGCAACATTATGATGTACTAATTCCAACCTTTTTTTTTTTTTTTTTTGGGAGACAGAGGCTCGCTCTGTTGTCAGGGTGGAATAGTGCAGTGGCATGATCTTGGCTCACTGCAACCTCTGTGTTCCGGGTTCAAATGATTCTCCCACCTCAGCCTCCTTAGTAGCTGGGACTACAGGCGTGCACCTCCACTCCCAGCTAGTTTTTGTATTTTTAGTAGGAATGGGGTTTCACCATGTTGACCAGGATGATATCTTGACATTGTGATCCGCCCACCTGAGCCTCCCAAAGTGCTGGGATTACAGGCATGAGCCACTGCACCTGGCCAATAACAAACTTTAAGCAAATTATTTTAACAACTATGCAAAGACTCCACAAATTCAGTTATGTGGTACATATTTTTATAGATTTAAATTGCTAATCGTAAATATCTCAATTTTTTTTTCTAGGAAATTTTACCTGGATTGTTCTTAGGCCCATATTCATCTGCTATGAAAAGCAAGGTATGTTAGATTCACCAAGAGAGACTTTTATTAACAAATTTTTCTTGGGTAAGTTCTTTACTATTAAAGAGTTTTATTTTAGGGAGCATCAACAAATACTGTCTGTTATCAGTAATTATCACTCTGGAGTACCTTTCTCTTTCCTGATTTTACTAGACTAGTAGTTCTCAAGTGTTTCACCACAAAGCATAGAGTTTTTGTTTTTTTCTCATGAAATTCATGTTTTTGAAAGATTTACCTAACAGTTGACCGTTAATAACTTATTTACTCTCTTAAATACTGACCATCTGTAATTGCTAATTATAGCTTCAGAACAATATGAGATATAAAGCCCAAAATAAGGAATTCTTATCAAGGGTAAGACTGTTTGTGTAAACTGAAAATGATTCACCTTAGTTCTGCTTGCCAGCCAGACTTTAGAGGTCTGATTGGTATTCCTGATCTGAAATTTGAAACTTTTGAGCACCAATATGTCACTTGAAGGAAATCCTCATTGGAGTATTTCAGATTTCAGATATTTGGATTAGGGATGCTCAACCAGTAAGTATAATGAAAACACACAAAACAAACAAAAAATTCCAAACTCTGAAATACTTCTGGTTCCAGGCATTTTAGATAGGGGATATTCAATCTGTATTCTACATAGTCAAACTTTAATGGACTTACTCAGTTGCAGTTAAAATAGGTACATCTCATTTTAATAAATATAGCAATGTTCTTGCCACATCTGAAGATTCAATGCTACTAATTCTCTTTGAGTTACAATGTGAAATATATACAAATGTCTTTCCCCAATACTTTATCTGTTCAGAAGTCAGTATAGTTAAATTGTATTTGATATCTCCATAATATAATTTGATGTTCCTAGGAATTTAATCGGGGTGGGAGTTTTTAAAGGTCATTCATTTTGAAACTAGAAGGTTGTTTTCACTGTTGAGATGTGGGTAAAAGTAAACCCTGGTCATCTTGATGACTCTGCTTAGTTGGAAAGATAGGGAGTTAATAAAAATAAGTTCTAGGGAAAGGATAGGGCAGGTAAGTGCAGACATAGCTATAATTTGTTTTGGAAAAGGCAGATATAAACAAGGTTATTGTCCATATAATTTGCTATTCACCAAGTACTAGTGCTCCAGATGGTTTTATATAATTTACTTTTTAAAAATTCCACTGTATCTTATAAATATATTTACAGTATTTATCACGTTAAATGTCATTATTTGTTTAAAGGTTTGTCTCCTCAATAGGAGGCTCAGGAAGGCAAATCATGTGAGGCCAGGAGTTCAAGACCAGCCTGGCCAACATGGCAAAACCTTGTTTCTACTAAAAATACAAAAATTAGCTGGACAGGTGGTACACATCTGTAATCCCAGCTACAGAAAACAAAAACACAGACAGAAAACCATCTAGCTCCTCAAAACCTCTTGAAATTCCATCATGGTCTTATTAGAGGAAAAGCTTCTATGGCAGTATTTTATATTTCCCACCCTAAGTAACCATGTTATGGCCCATATTTCTTTTCATACCATTATCTAAAAACAACAAAAAGTAATAATGAAAATAAACCTAAATGAATAAACTCCTTTTTAAACACTCATTTATTGTTGTTATTATTTTGTGGGAGAGAGGAGCAAGGTCTTACTCTGTTACCCAGGCTGGAGTACAGTTGCGCTTGGTCATAGCTCACTGTAACCTCAAACTCCTGGGCTCAAACTGTCTTCCCACCTCAGCCTCCCAAGTAGCTAGGACTACAGGCATGCACCACCATGCCTGGCTAATTCTTAAAGTTTTTGTAGAGATGGGGTCTGGCTATGTTACCCAGGCTGGTCTCAAATTCCTGGCCTCAAGAGATCCTCCCACCTTGGCTTCCCAAAGCACTGGCATTACAAGCGTGACCCACCATGCCTGACTGTATTTACTGAAGTATATCTTTGATTAAATTCAAATACAGTTTAAATAAAAGGAACAAATTTAGGGCCTTTGTAACTAGTACACTATTTCTTTTTGAAAAGTTTTTCTACTGTTTTTAAATGTCATAATTTGCTTTATATTAGGTTGGTACAAAAGTAATTGCAGTTCTGCCTTTGAAAAGTACAAAATAATTCTATTCGCTGATACATTAGGACTCTATTTTGATCATTTATTTTTACTTAGTAGTGGTCTAATGGGCCTTCAATGCTTGTTAAAGTATCTTTATCCATAATTATGTGTGTCATCTTGTACTTTCTCACATTCGTAAAGTAGATAAGAAAACTTCACCATAGATCATCAGGTGTAAACAAAAGACTTAATGTTGAATTCTTTGTGGAAATTGGCATAAATCTCAATATAGAGCATTGGTTAATTATTAATTTTACTGAATCCTTCTCTTACATTCCCTAACTCAGGTTATACTCAAGAAATACAAAGATAATTGAGTTCTAACCTATGCTGACATAAAACTTGCTACAGAAATTAACACTTAAAACTTGCAAATTATATTGTCTTAGCTCAGGCTGCTCTAATAAAATATCATAGACTGAGTGGCTTAAACAACAGACAGTTATTTCTCTGAGTTTTGGAGGCTGGGAAGTCCGAAGTCATGATCTGGTTCTGGTGAGGACCCTCTTGCTGGCTTGCAGATTCCTGCCTTCTTACTGTATCCTCACACAGCTGAGAAAGCGAGCGAGTTCTTGTCTCTTATAAATCCTTTCGTGGAGGTTTCTACCCTCATGACCTCAATCTAAAACTGATTACTTCCCAAAGACCGCACCATCACATCTTGAGGGTAAGAATTTCACCATATGAATTTGAGGTGATGCAAACATTTAGTTCATAACACATATAAATTATTATTCTTTTTTACTCATGAACTATTAGTGCTACTGTTTTGTTTGATTTAAAGTGGGAATTAAATATATAGGATTTTAAGTTGAAGGTATCAGAAAATTCAAGGTTATCTGATTCTTATGCCATCATGACTTGTTAGTTCATTTATTGAACAGATAATTATTGAACAACTTAACTAGTTATACATACACCATACTTAAGGTGAATTGTATTATACATTTTACACATACTGTGTATCAGTGAACAAACAAAAATCTTTCGTCTCATGGAACTTAATGCTCTAGGTAATAAAATGACATCTAAACTCACTTAAAATCACTTGCAAATGAATATTATTTGGTAATTTCTAGAATTGTCATGTTAAATATGGAGCCAAAAGCAACAACTACAGGTTGAGTATCCCTAATCTGAAAATGTGAAATGCTCCAAAGTCTGAAACTTTTTGAGTTGTCAGTATGACAATACAAGTGAATTTCACACCTGACCCCATGTAATGGGTCACAGTCAAAATGTCATTTCGTGCACAAAACAACTATATGGAATTACCTTCAGGATGTATGTATATGCTATGTGTGAAACATAAATGAATTTTGTGTTTAAACTGATGCTGTCCCCGAGACATCTTAGTATGTATATGTAAATACTTCAAAATCTGAAATCTGAATCACTTCTGGTCCTATCTGGGGCCAGCATTTTGGATAAGGGATACTCAACCTGAATGGAATATAATAAGATGTTAATTGAAGTTGCCATTTTTAACTTTAGGAGATCTTTTAATTTTATTTTTGAAACGGAGGCTCGCCGTTTCGTCCAGGCTGGAGTACAATGGCGCAATCTCAGCTCACTGCAACCTCTGCCTCCCAGGTTCAAACGATTCTACTTTAGGAGAATTTTTAAATGGTGAAAGGTTAATTAGATTTTGTGAATTAATTCTGACTCATAAAGTGTACCGGGAGAGGCAAGGAGTAGTCTAGAGATTTGGGCTCAGGTATTGCTGTTAAGTAGGTCAGTGATGTCCAATATTTGTAATGTAACTGTTTTATCTTAGTAGTCCCCTCTAAAGAATAAAGATTGCAGTCAATATATATAATAACTTCTGTTTATTAAACACTTGCTCTGTGTCCCAGGCGCTATGCCAAATATCTTACATGAAGTTTTCATCAAGCTCTAAAATTATAGATATGAAATATCCCTGGTGGCTCAAGCCTGTAATCCCAGCACTTTGGGAGGCCGAGACAGGCGGATCACGAGGTCAAGAGATTGAGAGCATCCTGGCCAACATGGTGAAACCCCGTCTCTACTAAAAATACAAAAATTAGCTGGGCATGGTGGTATGCGCCTGTAGTCCCAGCTACTCGGGAGGCTGAGGCAGGAGAATTGATCGAACCCGGGAGGCGGAGGTTGCAGTGAGCTGAGATTGTGCCACTGCCCTCCAGCCTAGTGCCTGGCAACAGAGTGAGACTCTGTCTCAAAAAAAAAAAAAAAAAAGAAATACCCCTGTTAACCTTTTGAGGACATTAGTGTATTAATCTTGAATCATTGAAATATCTTGCTGCCCACTTCAGGTATATTCTAAAATTAGCTTTAATCCCCTGGACTTAAGCAGAGATGTGGGTTCTATGTATTTTCAAACATCTGTGTTATAGTAAGATGTTTTGTATTTTAAAATGTTTATCTTCCCTGTCCTCCCTCCCCCTGCTTTTTTTTTAATAGCTACCTATACTACAGAAACATGGAATAACCCATATAATATGCATACGACAAAATATTGAAGCAAACTTCATTAAACCAAACTTTCAACAGTTATTTAGGTAAGAAATATTGTTATAATTTGTAAAACACTAAATGAAGTTTCATTTCAGGTTTGTACCCTCAGTTTTTTCTGTACCTATCTAGTTAGTAAAGATGAGTCACACAGTACATAGTTTTTAAAAAATAAATCTTGCTTAAAATACTTAAATAATTTATGCCCATAATGTAGGATTCTAAAGGTTCAAAAGAATGCATATTGTCAAGAAATTTCTGGGAAAGTAAAAAGAAAAAAAAGAATTTAAAAATAACATATACTGAAAAGTAGGTTTCAGTGTACATTATTTTATCTCTTGAGGGGTAAGGGAATTGAGTAGGGGATAGAAATAGGGAAGCCAGTATCTACTGTTACCTCTTTATTGAGTAGCTTTCCAGTGTTATGTTAAATTTATGAGCATATTCTTATAGATAACTTCTGTTTTTTACATTGGCTTTTTTACAATTATTTTTTACTTTATATTTTTTGGAGATTGGTTCATACCAGCACTTATATCTAACTGCTTTATTCTTTTTAATTTGCATTGTAATCTGTTGTATGGTTTACTCAAATTTACTCAATCAGTCTGTTGGACATTTAGATTGTTTCTGGCCTTATACTAATATGTATAGCATATAGTGCCTATCATTGTACATATTATTCAGTTTGTATGTAGCACATTGATAGGACAAATTTGTAGAATTGCTGTATGTAAGATTATGGACATTTTAAATTTTGATAGATGTCACAGATTTCTTTGCAGTGAGTTGTATCACTTTACATTGCCACTATCAAATATATGAATGTGACTCTTTGCTTGATATTGCCCAAAATGGAATTATAAAACATTTTTTATTTCTCCAAGTTTAATGGAGTAAAAATGGTATCTCATTTGTTGTTCTTATTTATCTTACAGGTTCAGTTGAGCATGTAATGGTTTTTAATGTTCTTTATTTTAACTTTGTTTTTAAAATAGAGTATATTATGCATGGTACAAAAGTGAAAGGATATGTAAATGTATATGGAAAGTTACTCTACTTCCTCCTCTAGTTACTTTACCCAAAAAGACCCAAGTCGTCTTCTTTGACTATGTAAAAGTATGTATGTTAAAAATTTTATTTTAGGCTGGGTGCGGTGGCTCACACCTGTAATCCCAACACTTTGGGAGGCCGAGATTGGCAGATCACCTGAGGTCAGCAGTTTGAGACCAGCCTGGTCAATATGACGAAATCCTGTCTCTACTAAAAATACAAAAATTAGCTGGGCATGGTGGCAGATGCCTGTAATCCCAGCAGCTTGTGAGACTCAGGCAGGAGAATCGGTTGAACCTGGGAGTTGGATGTTGCAGTGAGACGAGATCGCGCCACTGCACCGCAGCCTGGGCAACAGAGCAAGACTCCATCGCAAAAAAAAAAAGAAAGAAAAATTTTAATGCTCTGCTTTATTTATAAAATGAAATCAATCTATAAATATCTGTAAATACAAGATAGATACTCTAAAATATATTGTGTGAACATATAATAGAATACTGTATAACTGAAAAAGAATGAAATATTTGTGTTTGGATTTGGGCTGATCTTCAAGATAATGCATTATACAAACAAAGCAGGGTGTGGAACAATGTATGTATTCCCAATGTGTTGAGTAAAAAATATAAATATATATAAATACATTAAGTATATTTATTCTTGTATATACATTGAAAATTTCTGGACCAACCGACTAGAAACTTCATAGTGATTGCTTCTATGAAGGAAAATTCAGGGCCTGTGATGTTAAAGGGACTTGTTTTTCTTTTCTTTTTCTTTTATTTTTTGATACAGAGTTTTGCTCCGTCACCCAGGCTGGAGTGCAGTGGCGCCATCTCAGCTCACTGCAACCTCTGCCTCCTGGGTTCAAGTGATTCTCCTGTCTCAGCCTCCTAAGTAGCTGGGACTACAGGCACACACCCAGCCTGGGCAATGTTTGTATTTTTAGTAGAGACAGGGTTTCACCATATTGGCCAGACTAGTCTCAAACTCCTGACCTTGTGATCCACCCACTTTGGCCTCCCAGAGTGCTAGGATTACTCACGTGAGCCACCACATCCAGCTGAAGGACGTATTTTTCACTATACACTTGGTTTTCTTGGGAGATTGGCTCCAGGAACCCCCATGGATAACAAAAATCCTCAGATGCTCAAGTCCCTTATATAAACTGGTATAATATTTGCGTACAACCTGTGCACATCCTCCCATAAACATCAGATCATCTCTAGATTACTTATAATACTTAGTGCAATGTAAGTGCTGTGTGAATAGTGTTGGATTTTATTTATATTATTTTTAGTGTTGTATTATTTTTTACCTTATTTTTTATTAATGTTTCTGATCCATCATTGGTTGAATCCACAAGTGTGAAATTCTTGGATACAGAAGGCTGACTCTGTATACTTTCGTAGTGTTAGAATTTTTTTGTGTGTGTGGTTTTAGGGAGCAGAGAAGTTAATAGGCAAGAAGGAAGAGGCTCTGCTGTATGGCGCTAGAGGGAGGGGTGCTCCCAAGCTGAAAGAAGGAACTCCCTAGAATTTTTTTTAAGTATATTTAGTTTATTAAAACTACTTATTAAAAAGGAATATCCCAAAACACTGAATATTTTTATAATTTGGAAAGAAATACTTTTTATTTTTGAGATGGAGTCTCACTCTGTCACCCAGGCTGAAGTGCAATGGCACGATCTAGGCTCACTGCAGCCTCCACCTCCCAGATTCAAGCGATTCTCCTGTATCTGCCTCCAGAATAGATGGGACTATAAACACGTGCCCCCACACCTGGTTGATTTTTGTATTTTTAGTAGAGATGGAGTTTCACCATATTGGTCAGACTGGTCTCGAACTTCTGACCTCGTGATCCACCCACCTTGGCCTCCGAACGTGCTGGGATTACAGGCGTGAGCCACCGTGCCAGCTTTTTTTTTTTTTTTTGACAGGATTTCTCTTCGTCGCCCAGGCTGGATTGCAGTGGTGTGATCTCTGTTCACTGTAGCCTTGACCTCCAAGGCTCAAGCAGTCTTCTCACCTCAGCCTCCCAAGTAGCTGGGACCACAGGTGCACACCACCAGACCTGGCTAATTTTTTTAAATTTTTTGTATAGATGGGGTTTTGCTATGTTGCCCAGGCTGGACTTGAACTCCTGAGCTCAAGCAATCTGCCCTCCTCAGCTTCCCAAAATGTTGGGATTACAGGCATGAGCCACTGCACCTGGCCATAAAGCACTTATTCTTATAAGTATTTTGGAAGGTACAGAATGACACCAGGAAGAAAAATACTTAAATCATCTCCAGTTCCACAATCTAGAGAAAACACTTTAGTTAACATTTGGCATATTTCCTTCTAAGTCTTTCTCTGTTGTGTATGTGTATTTCTGTATATACGCATAGAGTTATTTATTAAAGAAAATAGACTTGTATTTTATAATATCAAACTATATAAGTTGAAACGAATCTTAAGAAAAAAGTCAAAAAATCATACTATACATTTCTAGTTTGTACAGAATTTTTGTTTTAAATAACAGTATTGTTGGTGCAGGGTCTTTATCCTGATGGAAGAACCATTTCTTCTTAAACTTTTACAATACTAGCTTCTTAGAAATTGATAGTTCTACTAGTGATTCTTGACACTGAAAATGGTATGTGTTAACAATATTTTAATTTCATTCTGAGTTAACATTTTGTCCCTGAAGCATTGTTTTATATAACTGGAATACCCAATCACTTGAGGATACAGTCATTTTTGAAATTCTTGTGGGTTAAATATTGGATTTTCCTTAGATCCAGAGGTTCAGCTTCTCTTTTTGTTGTTGTTGTTGTTGTTTTGATACAGAATCTTGCTCTTTTACCCAGGCTGGATGGAGTGCAGTGGCCTGACCTCAGCTCACTGCAACCTCCGCTTCCTGGGTTTAAGCAATTCTCCTGCTCAGCCTCCCGAATAGCTGGGATTACAGGCATGTGCCACCATGCCTGGCTAATTTTTTTATTTTTAGTAGAGATGGGGTTTCACCTTGTTGGCCAGGCTGGTCTTGAACTTGTGACCTCAGGCGATCTGCCTGCCTTGGCCTCCCAAAGTGCTCACCTTACAAGCGTGAGCCACCACGTCCAACCTCTCAACTTCTCTATATTAAAGTCCTGAATTTTTTGAAGTTGTTACCACTTAAGTGATTGTTGAAGAACTGTAATTTTTAATGCAAAATTGTCCTTAACACATAACTTTGCTAATAACCTATAGTTGTATTAATAAACAGTGGTCTTAGGTTAGAAATGGAAGTTTTGTGTTTTTTTTTTGAGACGGAGTTTCTCGCTGTTGTTACCCAGACTGGAGTGCAATGGCATGATCTCAGCTCACCGCAACCTCCGCCTCCTGGGTTCAAGCAATTCTCCTGCCTCAGCCTCCTGAGTAGCTGGGACTACAGGTGCGCACCACCATGCCCAGCTAATTTTTTGTATTTTGAGTAGAGAAGGGGTTTCACCTTGTTGACCAGGATGGTCTCGATCTCTTGCCTTTGTGATCCACCTGCCTCGGCCTCCCAAAGTGCTGGGATTATAGGCATGAGTCACTGTGCCCAGCAGAAATGGAAGTTTTTTACAAAATAAAATAAGCTAGCAAATTAAAAATGCCTGATATTAAGTATTTTGTAAAGTATAAAATTCAGGACAGGTCCTCTCTCAGCTAGTTTTAGTTTAGTTTAGTTTTTTTTTTTGTTTTATGGAAGGTTAGTTCAAACAGTGAATGTTTGACTCATGGTTCCTTAGACCATGCCTTCTGTTTTTATTAGTTTCTTCTTTTTTTAGACTTTGGACTTCCTCTGAAATGTCCTCTGTAGGTTATGAGCAGGAGTCACAAGACCACTCAGAGAGTATTTTATAAAGATGGAGTGTCCCTTTGTTTGCTCAGGATGGTCTCGAATTCCTGGGTGCAAGTGATTCTCCCACCTTGGCCTCCCAAAATGTTGGGATTACAGGCATGAGCCACTCTGCCCAGCCTGATGGATTTTTTTAAAATAATAAAATATTAGAGATGTTAATATGGTGTTTCAGGTTTTATTATTTTATTTTATTTTATTTATTTTTTTTTTTTAACCTTCTACAACTTTCTTTTTTTTTTTTTTTTTTTAATTTTTTATTGGATTATAGGTTTTGGGGTACATGAGCAGAGCATGCAAGACAGTTGCGTAGGTACACACATGGCAGTGTGCTTTGCTTTTCTTCTCCCCTTCACCCACATTTGGCATTTCTCCCCAGGCTATCCCTCCCCACCTCCCCCTCCCACTGGCCCTCCCCTTTTCCCCCCAATAGACCCCAGTGTTTAGTACTCCCCTTTCTGTGTCCATGTGTTCTCATTTTTCATCACCCACCTATGAGTGAGAATATGCGGTGTTTCATTTTCTGTTCTTGTGTCAGTTTGCTGAGGATGATGTTTTCCAGATTCATCCATGTCCCTACAAACGACACAAACTCATCATTTCTGATTGCTGCATAATATTCCATGGTGTATATGTGCCACATTTTTCCAATCCAGTCTATCATCAGTGGGCATTTGGGCTGATTCCAGGTCTTTGCTATTGTAAACAGTGCTGCAATGAACATTCGTGTACATGTGTCCTTATAGTAGAACGATTTATAGTCTTTTGGATATATACCCAGTAATGGGATTGCTGGGTCAAATGGAATTTCTATTTCTAAGGCCTTGAGGAATCGCCACACTGTCTTCCACAATGGTTGAACTAATTTACACTCCCACCAACAGTGTAAAAGTGTTCCTTTTTCTCCACATCCTCTCCAGCATCTGTTGTCTCCAGATTTTTTAATGATCGCCATTCTAACTGGCGTGAGATGGTATCTCAATGTGGTTTTGATTTGCATCTCTCTGATGACCAGTGACGATGAGCATTTTTTCATATGATTGTTGGCCTCATATATGTCTTCTTTCGTAAAGTGTCTGTTCATATCCTTTGCCCACTTTTGAATGGGCTTGTTTGTTTTTTTCCTGTAAATCCGTTTGAGTTCTTTGTAAATTCTGGATATCAGCCCTTTGTCAGATGGGTAAACTGCAAAAATTTTTTCCCATTCTGTTGGTTGCCGATCCACTCTAGTGACTATTTCTTTTGCCGTGCAGAAGCTGTGGAGTTTGATTAGGTCCCATTTGTCTATTTCGGCTTTTGTTGCCAATGCTTTTGGTGTTTTGTTCATGAAGTCCTTGCCTACTCCTATGTCCTGGATAGTTTTGCCTAGATTTCCTTCTAGGGTTTTTATCGTGCCAGGTCTTATGTTTAAGTCTTTAATCCATCTGGAGTTAATTTTAGTGTAAGGTGTCAGGAAGGGGTCCAGTTTCTGCTTTCTGCACGTGGCTAGCCAGTTTTCCCAACACCATTTGTTAAACAGGGCATCCTTTCCCCCTTGCTTGTTTTTGTCAGGTTTATCAAAGATTGTATAGTTGTAGATATGTTGTGTTGCCTCCGGTGCCTCTGTTTTGTTCCATTGGTCTATATCTCTGTTTTGGTACCAGTACCATGCTGTGTGTTTCAGGTTTTAAATGCCATGCCTTCAAGCAATATAAACTCTATCATGCAATTCTTGGCTATATGATACTTTGAAAGTTGTTTTGCATTCTTGTCATGGTTACCAAGAAATAATGGGTTACTTATTAGAAATACATTAACTGTTTTACTTAAAGTGTGCTTATCACAAAATACTCTATTTTCAGATATTTAGTCCTGGATATTGCAGATAATCCAGTTGAAAACATAATACGTTTTTTCCCTATGGTAGGTACCAATATTTTTAAAATATCATTTAAAATTTCTTTATGATTTGACCTCTTAATTGTGCTTCTGAAACTTACTACTTTTACTTTGCTGTGACTGAAAATTATGTGATTATGTTATAAAGAAAATGAGTAGAAACTTTTTTTATGATCTCCAAAAATTTGAGAAATCATATTTTGACTTTATTAGATTCAAATTAAGTTTTGGCTTCTGTAGTTTTTTTGGACTTGTTCTGTTTGTACCATTTTGTAAATTTGTGAATGAATATAATTTTTATACATATAAAGTAGGAGGAAATTGTTTTCAATAGGTTTTGTTATATGCGTTTATTTTGTGCTTACATGAATCCACATGTCTTTTGCCTCCAGACTAAGGAATTTATTGATGGGAGCTTACAAACAGGAGGTAAATAATGTTTCCTTTACTTAGCTAATGTTTATATTTAGATTATTTGTTAATTTTTCAGTTGGTATTTGTCTTAAATGCAGGATATGAAAGTTAGAATTATATGTAGTAGCTTACTCCCCAATTTGTATTTTCCCAGTTACTTGTTTCATTTGGATAGGTTTTCTAGAGTATTCCTGTAGATTGTCTTCAAATCTTCTGTGAGCTTTCAGTTTCTTTAATAAGATTCTGCTCTATTCTCTACATAGTTAATATTAAAAAATTGTCAATATTTGAAAATTAATATCCAAGTGGTTATTGTATATGATATAAAATATTTAAGGAAAGAGTTATTTTACTGTGGTTTCAACATATTTCAACTTCTGACTCAGGTGTTTTTCTGTTTGAATAACTAATTCATGTTTTTCAGGAAAAGTTCTTGTGCATGGAAATGCAGGGATCTCCAGGAGGTATGATGTTAGAAATAATCTTGCTTTCTGTAACATTTAATTACTGAGTTGTATTTTCTTTTTTTTTTCCTAAAATTGTTTTCCCCTCTTCAGTGCAGCCTTTGTTATTGCATACATTATGGAAACATTTGGAATGAAGTACAGGTAAGAAAATACCCTAAAACATAGCCACATTTAAATTCTCATTAAAATGAAGCTTAGTAGAAATGGTTTGCAAGTTTGAAGTTCCTATTCCCCTGATTATTTCTCATGTAGTTATGTTTGATTAGGCAAGCCCTTATTCCATGGTTAGTCTCAACCTAATTTTTCTATCTGTGTAGATATGCATAGGCTAATATGGAAGTCCTATGGAAAACTACTTACTTACCCAAAGGGAATTAGTTGGTCTGAGTATAAAAACTCCTGTACACAAATGTTAGTGCTTGCTTTATTTAAAAGGATAATGTATTATGTTCTCCTTTAACAATAATTTGATGAAAAATTACCTAGGAATTGTTGGTAGCTTCTATCCACAATTCAGAGTAGTCTTTCTTATCAAAAATCGTCTTTTCCAAGCATTCTGTATAGATTTTTTAAAAGATAGGGGATGGTCATGAGCTTCTTGCCCCAAGACAAAGCAAAAGCCTCACCAGTGTACAGTATTTCCTTTCTCAGTTTGTCTTGTTTTTACAAGTTAGAAATCTTACAGTAATCATTGACACCTCTATTTCAGTCTCCTTTTGTATTTAAATTAGAATGGAAAACTTTGCTTAAAGATATCTATTCTTAAAGGAATATTATTTGAATACAAATCTTTGTCTATTTAATGGAAAAAAGATTAAACATGTATTGATGGACTTTATGTTTTATGTATTTTTATTTGAAATCTTGTCAGAACATTAATGTCGGAAATAACTTGCATTTATTGGGTCTCTGCTATGAGCTCATTACTGTTATAGGCACTTTTATCTCATTTAAGCCTCACAACAACAAAAGGAATCTAAGCTTCCTTAAACAGTGATAATATTTTGAGCTTGAACTTGTATATGCACAAAATGCTTACATTTTATTGATTTTTAGAGATAGGATCTTCCTCTGTTTCTCAGGCTGGAAAGTAGTAGCACAGTCATAGCTCACTGTAGCCTCAGACTCCAGGGCTCAAGCAGTCCTCCCATCTCAGCCTCGCAAGAAGCTGGGATTTTGCCACACCGCCATGCCTAGCTAATTTTTAGGGGTTTGTTTTTTTTTGCAGAGATGGGGTCTGGCTACATTGCCCGGGCTGGTCTGAAAGTCCTGGCTTCAAGCAATCTTCCTTTGTTGACTTCCCAAAGGATTGAGGTTACAGGCATGAGCCACTGTACCTGGCCACTACACACTTATCTCCTATGCATAGTAGTTCCTCAAGACAGGTATTATTATAGTCTTCATTTTATCAATGGACAAAATAGGGCATAGAGAAGTTGAACAAGCTGATATATGCATATAGCTGGTGAGCAAGGAAATTGCGATGCTTTTTCCGTTACAACTCATTACCCCTCTCTATTGTTAAGTTGTATGATTATGTTTAATTCATTAAATAATGCTATCACATTAATTTTGTTTGTTTGTTTTCAGAGATGCTTTTGCTTATGTTCAAGAAAGAAGATTTTGTATTAATCCTAACGCTGGATTTGTCCATCAACTTCAGGTAACTTCTCTTTTCTTCCTTTTTAAGGTGGTCAGAAAGTAAGATATAAAATCTTTTGCACATAAAATTTAGGTGTACAATTTACTTTGTAAATACTTAAAATTGCTATAATCTGACTACTTTGATTCTTTATTCAAGTATATATCTCTATTTAGAAGTATTTTCGTGGCTGGGTGTGGTGGCTAAGACATTTGGATCACTTGAAGTCAGAAATAGGAGATCAGCCTGGGCAGCAAAGCAAAACCCAATCTCTAAAAAATAAAAAACTGAAAAAAATTGGCCAGTCATGGCAGTGCGTGGCTGTGGTCTCAGCTACTCAGGAGCCTAAGGTGGAAGGGTCCTTGAGCCTAGGAGTTTGAGGCTATAGTGAGCAGTGATTGTGCCACTGCACTCTAATCTGGGACGCAGAGTGAGACCCTGGTCCTAAAAAATTAAAAAAATTTTTTCTTAAAAAGCTGGCATTACCAAGAAAAAAGGGTTAAAGACACATTATCAAAACTTAGGTAAAATAATTTGTGTTAGAAATGTCTTTTTTTTTCTTTATTTTGATCACAGAGCATAAGAGAGTTTTGATTCTAAGTATACTAACTATAACAGCTTTTTCTATTCTATGTTTATCTTTTCCATGTTGTTTCATATTTTGTTGATGTCTGGCAGATGCACTGAAAGACAATAAACCTGTGAATTAGTCTGATTAGACCAGGTTATTCAGTTTATTCCAAGAGGCAAAATCATAGGCTACAGAATGTGCTCTGGCTAATTATATCCAATTATGCAGGAATAAAGCTCATGTTTCGATATCAAGAATATTTATTTAAAAATATATTTTTGTAGTTACCAAGTTTTAAAATTCATTTTAATGTTTAATTTACTTTTCATTTTTACTACATTCAGAAGAGAAACAGTGGCATCTGTGGTGAGCCTGTTCATGTAAAATGGTTGTCTTCTAAGTTTCTTTGCCTTTTACCACGTTGTATAAAACATTCTTTATTTATTTTTATTTAAAAAAAATTTTTTTTAAGGTTTTCTTTTTTGTGGGTACATAGTAGGTTATATAGTCATGGGTACATTAGATATTTTGATACAGGCATGCAATGTGTAATAATCATCATGGAAAAACAAAATACCCATTCCTTCAATCCTTTATCCTTTATATTACAAACAATCCATTTATACTCTTACTTATTTTTAAATGTGTACAAACATTCTCTTTTAAAATTAATTTTTGTATTTCAAAGAGAAGTATATGCATATGTTTAAGAAAATTGGCCTGGCGCAGTGGCTCGTGCCTATAATCCAAGCACTTTGGGAAGCCAAAGTAGGTGGATCACCTGAGGTCAGGAGTTTCAGACCAGCCTGGCCAGCATGGTGAAAACCCATTTCTGCTAAAAATATAAAAAATTAGCCCGGCTTGGAGATGCATGCCTGTAATCCCAGCTACTTGAGAGGCTAAGGCAGGAGAATCACTTGAACCCAGAGGGTGGGGATTGCAGTGATCAGAGGTCAGGCCACTGCACTCCAGCCTGGGTGAAAGAGCAAGACTCTGCCTCAAAAAAAAAAATTAGAAGTTGAGCAGTACCTAAAGAGAATACAGTGTAAGGTAAGTCTCCTTAATAGTATGTCTTGAAGATTATCTTATAACAGCAGAAATAACTCTGCCTTCGTAATATTTTAATTACAGATCTCACAATTTTATGAGTGGTTTCTTATTTAAGGACCTTTCAATTATTTCTAGTCTTTCATGATTATAAAGAATATTGGAAAGATCCTGATAGGTACATCTTTGTATACCTGTGTGAATATATACCTGTAAGGTAATTGAAATGGAATTGCTAGGTTCCATCCAGTGCATTTGAAATTTGATAGATGTGAAATAATGTAAACTTATACCACCAGGAAACAAGGAGTGCCTATTTCTTCCTACCCTAATTAACAACAGTGGCCAAAAGTGGTTTTGTTTTGTTTTTTTCTGAGATGGAGTCTTGCTCTGTCACTCAGTCTGGAGTACAATGGCGCCATCTCCGCCCACCACAGCCTCCACCTCCCAGGTTCAAGCAATTCTGCCTCAGCCTCCCAAGTAGCTGGGATTACAGCTGTGCACCACCATGCCTGACTAATTCTTGTATTTTTAGTAAAGATGGGATTTCACCATGTTTGCCAGGCTGATCTGGAACTCCTGACCTCAGGTGATTCACCCTCCTTGGCCTCCCCAAGTGCTGGAATTATAGGTATGAGTCACCACTCCTAGCCCAAAAATGTTTTATCAGATTTTTTTTATCATTGCTCTTATGGCAGTAAAATTGGCAATTCCTTAAGGCTTTAATTTGCTTCCCATTGATTTAGTTTCCCATGTTTGGGTTATTTGTAATTATTTTTCTGTGAATCATTTGTTGGTGTTCCTCTCACTCTTACAAAAGAGTTTGTAAGAGCTCTTTTTATGTTATAGAAATCTATTTATAGCCTCCCGATTTGAAATATCATTTTTATTTTATACCAAATTCTGATACGTACTTTAGAGTTTTGAAGTTTTCTCTATCTCCCTCCCTCCCTCCTTCCCTTCCTTCTTTCCCTCCTTCCCTCCCTCCCTCCCTCCTTCCCTTTCTTCTTTCCCTCCTTCCCTCCCTCCCTCCCTCCCTCCCTCCCTCCTTCTTTTCTTTCTTTTCTTTCTTTCTCTGAGCCAGGCTGGAGTGGAGTGCAGTGGCACGATCTTGGCTCACTTCAAATGAACATCCATCTCCTGTGCCCAGGCAATTCTCCTGCCTCGGCCTCCTGAGTAACTGGGATTATAGGCACATATCATCCTGTCCAGCTAATTTTTGTATTTTTAGTAGAGACGGGGTTTCACCATGTTGGCCAGGCTGGTCTTGAACTCCTGAGCTCAGGTGATTTGCCCATCTTGGCCTCCCAAAGTGATGAGATTACGGATGTGAGCCACTGCACCAGCCAAGTACAATATTAATGTAGATAAAATATGAAGTTTATTATTTCATATAAGAATATTATAAGTTTGTTTTTTCTTGTATCTGTCTGTTGCCCTTATAGTTGAATGACAGTGGCTAGATATAATTTTTTTTTTTTTTGAGACAGAGTTTCACTCTTGTTGCCCAGGCTAGAGTGCAGTGGTATGATCTCAGCTCACTACAACCTCTGCCTCCTGGGCTCAAGTGATCCTCCTGTCTCAGCCTCCTGGGTAGCTGGGATTACAGGCATGTGCCACCACACCCAGCTAATTTTGTATTTTTAGTAGAGACGGGGTTTCACCATGTTGGTCAGGCTGGTCTCGAACTCCCAACCTCAGGTGATCCTCCTGGCCAAGCTTCCCAAAGTGTTGGGATTCAGGTGTGAGCCACTGCACCCAGCCTAAGTGCTGTTTTAGAGAAATTTTTGAAGACAGACCAATTTTAAAATTATCCCCTTAGATGAATTGATTTGTGTCAGGAGAAGGGTTGTCTAGATCAGCGTTCCCCAACTTTTTTGGCACCAAGGACCAGTTTCATGGAAGACAGTTTTTCTGTGGATGGGGCTGCAGGGGAGATGGTTTCAGGACAAAACTGTTCTACCTCAGACCATCAGGCATTGGTTAAGGAGCGTGCAACCTAGATTCCTCGCATGAGCAGTTTACCATAGTGTTTGCACTCCTATGAGAATCTAATGCTGCTGCTGCTGTGACAGGAGGTGGAGCTCAGGTCCACCTCCTGCTGTGTGGCCCGTTCGTGACAGGAGATGGACCAATTGCACTCTGCAGTCCGGGAGTTGGGGACCCCTGGTCTGGATGACCATAAGATGCCTTATCAAGGTGTATCCTGATTTTTTTTGTGTATTGGTTTTTTGAGAAGGGTCATGCACTGTCACCCAGCTACAGTGCAGTGACACGATCATGGTTCACTGTAGCCTTGACCTGGGCTCAAGCGATCCTCCCACCCTAGCCTCCTGAGTAGCTGCGACCACGGGTGCACACCACCACACCTTGCTAAATATTTTGTTTGTTTTATTTTATTTTGTTTTGAGACAGAGCCTTATTCTGTCACCCAGCTTGGGATGCAATGGCACAATCTTGTCTCACTGCAACCTCTGCCTCCTGAGTTCAAGCGATTCTCCTGCCTCAGCCTCCTAAGTGGCTGGGATTACAGGTGCCCACCACCACGCCTGGCTAATTTTTGTATTTTTAGTAGAGAGAGGGTTTCGCCATGTTGGCCAGGCTGGTTTCCAACTCCTGAACTCAGGTGATCTGCCCACCTTGGCCTCCCAAAGTGCTGGGATTACAGGCATGAGTCACACACCTGGCTAAGTTTTAAAAACTATTTTTGGTAGAGAGAGATGAAGTTTCGCCATATTGCCCAGACTGGTCTCAAACTTCTGAGCTCAAGCGATCCTCCCACGTTGGCCTCACAAAGTGCTGGGATTACAGGCATGAGCCACTATACCTTGCCAAGATGTATCTTGTTATTGGCTCTAAATCAGTTTTTTCTGAGTCACAGTATGCCCTTACCACTTGCAATTCAAGACTACTTTTATTTCAGGATATTTGTTTTCTGTTGTGTATTCACCCTTTTGGTTGTTCTGTTTCTTTTTCTTTTTCTCTTTAGTATACCTATCACCCTGGTAGAGTTTTTATGTTAATTCTCTTTTTTCTTTGATACCTGCCATTTTGCCTGTAATTATTTTCAACTTTTTTTTCCCATTGATTTTTCTCGAGTTTGTTTTCCATATCCCATGCTGCATTGTCTCATATATTTATTTGGCGTTGTTTTAGGCACTGACAGTAAAGCAGAGAACAAAACAGACAAAAATCATTAACCTCATGAAACTTATTTAGTGGGAGAATCAAACAACAGACAAAATAATAGTAGGTCGGAAGTAATGAATCCAAGAAAAATAAGGCCATGTAAGGAGGGCAGGATAAGAACTACATTTTTAGAAGGGTTGTCAGAAATGGGCTTACTGAGGAAATGATATTTGAGCAAAGACCGGAAGAAATGCACATATTTAGGGGAAAGCATTCGAAGTAGAGGAATAGTGTAAGTGGCTTGAGGTGGGAGCGTAGTTCCCATAGGGATACTCATTTCATCATAGGGGCTCTACTTATGGCTTGATCCCAACCTAATCACCTGCCAAAGTCCCCATGTTAAGGATTTGGATTTTAACATATGAATTTTGAGGGAATGTAAACCTTCTGTCTCATAACTGTCATATTTTCGGTGATTAATTTTTTCATAGTTTTCATCTGCTTCATGATACTAGTTTTATGGCATTTTTAAAATGACATTTGGTTATACTGTTGCTTTTCTTTTATTCCTTGCAAAATCTTTGATTAAGACCTACACTGGTTCCTTTTTGATTACTGGTCATCTTTGAACTGGAGGTATTCATCTTAGATCAGCTATTTTTTTTTTTTTTTACCCAAGAATAAAATTGTGGGAAAGGGGCCAGAGGAGTGGTTGGGAAGGCAGACGGCCAGCTTGAATTTTCCCAGGTTCCTTTGGTGGCATGACCCAGTGAGTAAGAAACAGAGCTCCTTATATCACAGCTTTATTTTGTTTAATTGATAAACACTGATGCATGTGAGAATCACCAGGGGAATCCTTAGCCATGCCAGTGCAATGAGACTCTGTGAGGGTGGGACCTGGGTTTATAGACCTTAAAGTGCCTCAGGTGAGTCTCATGACTAGCCAGGCTTGAATTGCTGATTTAGCCTTGACTTTTTGATATCCAAGATCAACTGATGTTTGGCTACATGCAACCAAATTTCTCCTCCACCTTACCACACTTAGAGTCTGCTGCTTGCAAAAAATGGCAGGTGTAAGTGTTCACATTTTCCTTAATACGTCCCACCTTATCCCATAGGCCACTCCTACTTCCTGACTTTGTCATACCATGCAAGGGCTTGTTGGTCTTTAAGTCTGTCACCTTTTTTAGTGAGCTATGAACTGTACCTATTCTGGCCCACAGATGCAGGCATCTGCTGTACCTAGCTTAGTATGGTTCTGTTTTTTTTTGAAAATTTTATTGTGGAATTATAGTACACATATAGAAAATGCATAAAATGTAAATAAGCATCCATGTAGCTATTGACCAAGTCCAGAAACAGAATGTTTACCAGGACCCCAAAAGCTTTTTTTCTGACCCTTTTCAAGCACAAATCTCTTTCTCCTTCTGTAAAGGTAACCACTGCCCTGACCTAGCTGGTGATCAATTCCTTTTCTCCTCATTATTCTCATTTTCAGAGTAATGGTGTTTTTCCTAGTTTCATCAAGTGTTTTCTTTGTTTTCAGAAAAGAGAGAAACAAAAATGCCTTTTATTCTTCTGTCTATAACTAGAAGCAGAGGACTATTGGGATTGCCAATTTAGGTTTTTGGTGTTTTTTTGAGGGGGCTTTTTTTAAACAGATGAAGTCAGAGGTCATTATGGCTAATGCCATACTGACTGGCAGTTCAATGTGCAGTACCCTAGTGCAGACTATTAGCCTGACTTGATTTGTAGTAATCAGTAGTTCTGAATTTATGAGATGGAATTTTAAACTTCCATTTCTCTTCAAACAATATGGTACCAAATTTTTCAGTTTAGATGAAAAATACCAACAGTGTATACATTAATCACTATTTTGGGTCTCCAAGAATATAAATGTATTATCAGGTTAATTAATATTTTTGTTTTTTAGGAATATGAAGCCATCTACCTAGCAAAATTAACAATACAGGTGATGTCACCACTCCAGATAGAAAGGTCATTATCTGTTCATTCTGGTACCACAGGTAGGGATTTTTTTCTTTTTTGGAGAAATTTGGAAAGAAAGATAATGAAAGATGGAGAACTTGCTACAAGTTACACTGAACAATTTAAATTATTTAGAAAACTTGTTAAGTGATTTAAGATTATTTCAAAATGATTCATTTTATAACAAATCTGTATTAAAATAAGCTTAAGTTTCTTTAGTAGTACATCCATGATGTAAAGATTAAAATAAGAAGAATATTGGGGGGCTGAGGCGGGTGGATTGCCTGAGCTCGGGGGTTTGAGACCAGCCTGGGCAACATGGGTGAAGCCCGTCTCTACTAAAATACAAAAAATTAGCCAGGTGTGGTGGCATGCGCCTGTAATCTCAACTGCTTGGGAGGCTGAAGCAGGAGAATTGCTAGAACCAGGGAGGCAGAGGTTGCAGTGAGCCAAGATCACATCACTGCATTCCAGCCTAGGCGGCTTACGTGATCTTATTAAAAGTAAAAGGTGGTTAATACAGCATGTAGGGTGGCTGATGTGAGCTGTTTTTCTCTTGCCATCAATATTTCCATCCTTTCTTCCCTCTATTGCTATTTCAGAAGTACCCTAAGCCCCTTATTTTCAAAGTTAATTCAAGCATGCTGTCAAAAATCTTCCTTTCCCAAGACCTTGCTACTGATGTTTATCACCTTTGTTTCTCCCCTACCAAAGCATACAAGTCATTTTTAATTTATTTCCAGTTTTTCTACCCCACAGTTGATTTCAACCTTTGAGCCAAGTTATATAAGGTAGTAAGAACAACTTATTTACCTAGTTAGCGCTGACCTGGAAATTGAGGACAGGTGATCTGATCCACAAATATAGAACTTTTTGTACCCTACTGCACTGCCTACAGTGAGTAATACGACTGTATATTCACCCCCAAGGTTCAGATTCCTAATTATCCTTGACTTTTTTTCTCTCCTTTGCCACATCTAATTAATAATTGCTTTCCACATCCTATAGGGTCTGTTTTGTTAGTATTGTTAATATTCCTTTCTTTTTTTAAGTGTCCTCAATCTAGTTCAGGTCTGAATTTGCCTCCTGTCCAGACTCTTGTTATATGATCTGTTCCGTACATTGTGGCCAGACTTATTTCCATGAAAGATATTTCTGATAATAATATATTTCCTTTGCCAAAGCCTCCTTTGGCTTCATTCCTGCAAAAGTTTATAGAATGCCATATGTAGTAAAGGCCCTTCTGATTTTTCAGTTTCTTTCTCTCATTGTTCCTCTTTATATCAGCATTTCAGAAAACAACTACTGATGGTTTCCTTTGTGTGTCTTTTCCCCACCTAAAACGCATCACATTTAGTCTCCCTATTCTTGGTTCATATGTCATTTCCTCAGAAAGATATGATGATTAATGCACTCTTCCTCCCTAGTCATTTGGAGTTCCGGCAGAAGCACAGCACTTCATCTGATCCTTAATCACAGTATATGGATTTAGCCTAAGGGTTAGGATATTTTACCTCATTCAATTGTATTGATACTATGTTTTTGTTTATTTTATAAATTTTGTAGTGAAACATTAACCTCATTTTAGAATCTGTCCTCTGAATTAACATTATTACCATGATGTAACAGTCATGTAGAGCGTAAGTTTAAGATTGTGCCATTGTTAGGCAAAAGACACAGCACATCCTCTGAGGTTTAACTGTTCCCTAAAGGTTTCCTTTATTGAGATTCCAATTTCTTGCTTACAACTTTTGGTGATATAGAGATAGCTTTGATTCTATGTGGGAGATTTCTGTACTAACAGATGCTGATGTGAAGAATAGATAAAAGAAAATCTCTTTATATACTACATGCCTTCCTTTCTCCCAACCTAGACTTCCATAGCTTCAGTGGAAAAATATTTTCAGCTGCTCTTCATAACAGCCTCTGTGAAAGCAAAAAGATTATCTACAAAAAAATTATACAAATACAAGACTAATTTCCTAAATTTTATGCCCGACACGTTTATGATGCCTAAAAATTAACTTGATAACTAAACATTTATGTATTATCTCTTTAAAAGTTCTGTTTTCACACTATTTCAAAAATTATTGTTTATTTTCTATGCGATAACTAAGACATACTTAATATTTGAGAAGGCAAATATATCTTGTCATGAAAATTAAAAAGTTATAGTATTTAAGTAATTTATAACAAAGGAAATTACTAAATTTTGCTATTAATTCAGTTGTAAAATTTTCATAGTGTATACACAGTCACTTAATGAAAAAAATTTACTGTAGTATTTTAACATGAATTTATTTTAGTGCCCTTTTTATCTTTATGCAATAACTTTTAGGCAGTTTGAAGAGAACACATGAAGAAGAGGATGATTTTGGAAACATGCAAGTGGCTACTGCACAGAATGGCTGATTGAAGAGCAACATTATAGAGAGTGAATTTCTTTTTGGGAAGGAGAAAATACAAGAGACAATTATAATGTAAAATGGTAAAAACCTAAGTTTTTTTTGAATTACATGTTGCTTCCAGACATACTTCTCTGGAACTTGTTGAGCAACATTTTAAGATGTTAGAATTCTGCAATAGATGGCACTGATGGTTTTACTCCTTTTTAAAAAAAAAAAAAAAAAAAAAAAGAAAGAAAGAAAGAAACACTTTACAAGTTTTATTATAAACCAAGAATTTTGGACTTGCAAAGAGGTATTATTGCAATAATGCACTTTTCATACTTGAAATTTATTTGTATGATATAGTTATTACTTTAAACAAAATGCAAGTTGGGGGGATTGTTTATGAAGTTTGGGTAATTTATAACAAAAGAATTTGCTAAGATTTGCTAAAAATTCATTTTTCTGTTCTATAACATTTTTAACATAATTTTACGCTTCAATTTTATGATGGGGCTTCTTACAGAAACATTAACAAAATGCAGGAATCTGCCACATTTCTTTTTTAGTATGACTTAATAGCTTATTTTATTTTTTATACTTCTTGTTCCCTTATTAATAATCTTTAAATCATGACCCTAATCAGCTATCCTTACTTTAACATGATCTAATTATTGCTTCCTTTCCTATTAGTTTCCTAAATTGTTTATTCTACATAAAAAAAAAAAACTACAGTCTCAACGATAAAAGGAAGATGTTTTGCTTTATAGTACCACGTGCTTAAAAACAAGAATAGTGTTAGATTTTCAAGTGACTCTCCTTTTTGCTTTTTTTTTTTTGGTGTAAAAGACATATGTTGTATTTGTTCTTTTCAGAGTTGTCCAGCCCTTTTTCCCTTTGTCCAAAATGATTCTAAATAGAATCTAATAAACCAATGTAGCACTATTTTTTTCTAAAAGAAGCCCAAAAAAAGAAAAGTGCCTTGCATCATTAAAAAAATAAAATAAAATCCTCATGACCTCTAAATTAGTATGTAGAACAGTGAAAAATTCTTAACATTTTTCTGTGATTTCTTTTCTCTGTTTTTTTTTTTTTTTTTTTTTTGAAACAGTCTTGCTCTGTTGCCAGGCTGAGTACATGATCTCAGCTCACCACATCTTCCACCCCCCAGGTTCAAGCGATTCTCCTGCCTCAGTGTCCCTAGTAGCTGGGACTACAGGCACGCACCACCACGCCGGGTTACAGCTAATTTTTGTATTTTTAGTAGAGATGAGGTTTCATCATGTTGGCCAAGATGTTCTCGATCTCTTGACCTTGTGATCTGCCCTCCTCGGCCTCCCAAAGTGTTGGAATTACAGGGGTGAGCCACGGTACCCGGCTTTTTCTTTTTAAACTATAAATTACTTTAAACTGAAAGTATGAGGCTGGAAGAAACAATAGTAAATTATTTGGAATATGGAATGTTTACTCTTTTATGTTGTCTTAATGATTCTGTGAAATTGTTCTGGCTCATACAGAAGCTTTTCTTTGGGGAAGGTGATTTGTGGGAGATTAGTGTACTTTTAATTAGCATTTTAATCCATTCTTTACACTCAGTCCAGGTCTGCCCCATAATTTGCTTTCCAAGTCACTTTATAGATTTTTGACTCTCCATGTTTTAGTTTGTGTGTATAAAAATTGTTCTAAGAAAACATTTTTGCTATTTTAAGTATGTAAGGGAAGAAAGGAGTGTTTTTAACTTTTTATAGTTGATTTTTGGGTAGCACAAACAAAACTCCTTTGTGTCTAACTTTTCTCAATCCTCTTTTGAGGTGCTTTACTAATGGGAATGATTTCTCTTTGTTCCCTTGGTACCAAGAGGTACTATGCAAAGTAACCTATTAACACCAAGTTACTTGCTTTCCTTTCCTCCCTATGATGTGATAATATAGTAAAAGCTTTCTTATCCAGCATAGTGGGAAGAGTGGAGATTAATTAAAATTGTTGTTAATTAAGAGTTAATTCCTATTACCCAGGTGATGTTCCTCTTCTGATTTCCCTCCCCTTCCCTTCTCCTATCTTACCACCCTGAAAACAGCATATTTTTAATCCTGTTGTCGTCCAGTGTTCTGCTTTGTGATTAGGTCCTTTGGTGTACAATGGTCTAGTGGAGTCACAATTTGCATTGGATGTTCTAAAATTCCAGTTGATAAAGTTCCAGATAACACAGCTTTCCTGTATATAGATCACTATTGGGCAGTCAGCAAAGATCTCTTACAGTGTAATAACAATCTCTGATGCTTCATTTACAGAAACTCTGCTTAAAAGAATCTTCATAATAGTTTAGATTTTAAAAACTTGTTTCATAAATATACATATATCCTCTCTAGTAGTCTGGCCAAAAGAAAAGATTTTGTTATTGATAATTTGTAGCTGGTAATTTTCCACTTTTTCTATCCACTGTTATTTTTATGTTGTCACTGAAGTGCCTGCCCAGCACTGTATATTATAGTCTCTCACAAACACTGGGAAAACGGACTGTCATCATCTTGAGTACAATATTATCATTTGAGACGGAGTCTCGCTCTGTTGCCCACGCTGGTGTACTGTGGTGCAATCTTGGCTCACTGCAACCTCCACCTCTGAGGTTCAAGTGATTCTCCTGCCTCAACCTCCCAAGTAGCTGGGATTATAGTTCATGCCACCCTGTCCGGCTAATTTTTGTATTTTCAGTAGAGACGGGGTTTCACCATGTTGGCCAGGCTGGTCTTGAACTCCTGATTTCAAGTGATCCGCCCATCTCAGCCTCCCAGAGTGCACAGGCGTAAGCCCCTGTGCCAGCCAAATACATTATTAATGTAGATAAAATATGAAGTTTATTCTTTCATATAAGAACATTACAAGTTTGTTTTTTCTTGGATCTGTCTGTCTATCTAATGTTCAAGTAGTTCTGGTAGCTCTTCCTATTCTTTATTCTATTTGATTCCATTTCTGTGATTTCTTTATTACCAGTGATGTTTTCTGTTAGTTAACTATGATAGATTTAACCAATCATGATTTATTTTCTAGGGTATTTAAATAATATATGAGTGACCACCCAATTCCAACAGTAAAACTGTAATCTGGGCACATAATTTATAGTGAAATTACATCAAAACAGGGAAATGTATTACTGTCCATGTTAAAAATATAAAACTTGAATATTGAAAATATTTAAACTTGGAATGGCAGTATTCTAATTTCAGTTTAGTTGGTTCATGTTAATTTCTTACCTATTAGATGTTTAAACAGCAGTGACCTTTGTTTACTTGTATCTACTCTTTGGTGGAAATGTTAAACTGTGATAGCTTTTGCTACCAACTCAACCACTTAACTGCTTCATCTGAGTTTAGAAGTAAAGTCAGAAAATGTTAAGCATGTCCGTAATAAGAAAATATAAGGTTTCTAATTATCTTATTAATATAGTAATTCAAGTGAATTAGGAATATTTAACTGCAATCTTGAATTATAAAGTTGAGATACACATATCAAGATCTCAACTTGATGTAAAGTAAATGAGCAGTTACCTGGCGGATTTTTTTTTTTTTAAATAACTGGTTGAATCCATAATCCCATAACAAACATAGCTTCACCTCAGTATTTTCTTTCCTTCTTCATTCACCAGTACTCCAATAAGGGAATGCTAGAAAATAGCTGATAAGTACTGAAAGACCGTTTGTGAAAAAATTGATTAGAAAAGTAAGTTTCTAGGGTCTCTGAATGCTGGATTTTTTTTTTTTTTTTTCCCATCTGTGGCAGCTAAAACAAAAATCACTCAAAATATTCAGGTTTACATGTTAGCTCTCTCTCATAGGGAGTTGCCATACCTCACAGTTCAAAGTGTATTCTCTAAATCAGTAACATAATACTGACATGTAATTGCAATTTACTATGCAGCAAAAATGATTCAAGAAGAAAAATAACCTACAGTGTCTATATACCTTTGTGTATACAATTGCTTAAGTTACTCTGCTTTAACATTTGTACTTGGATAAAATGCTTATGTCTGTATAGGAATGTCACAGTGCAAGATGCTGCTAGCCCAGGCACAAAGTATTAAAATTATTTTGTGAAGATTGGTGGTTGTATTAAAACTGCTGTGCCATTATACCTCCAGAATATTGCAAAGCTCATTCATACTGCTGCTTATACCTCAAAACTTCTTTAGATTGTTATCTATGGGTAAAAGTAACCCAATTTTGTTCATGTGAATTAGGAGTGAATGAACATTGAATGCTGAGAAGCACTTACGAGTATCCTCTAAAAAACTGGTTGCACACAAGAAAAATTATGGTCTGTAGTCCAGACAAGCCTCAAATTCCAACTCAGGTTTATTTTTAAGGATTAGTTGAGCCAAGTTTGGAGTTGGAAGTGAGAGAATTCGTGTTTAAAGGAAAGGGTAGGTCATCCATAGAACAGCTTTCAGTCATTAGAAAAAAAATAGTTCCTGCTTTTATAGTACCTTCTTTTCCCTCATTAGGCCTACCTGCATACTGTGCTTCATAAATCTAAGATCCTCTTAGAACTATACCATTATTTTAGGCACCACTAAAATAATTACATTTAGGGAATGTATTGCTAACAAAACTATGACAAACCATTGATAATGTATCCAGATTTCAGAGAGAAAACAATGCATCTTAGCTGATGAAAAAACAAAAATATAAAAAACATGGGACACAGTAAAAGTGACAACTACCCCTTCATTGTATCTTTTCATAAGCAAATAGTGCTCAAAAATACGAACAGCCAGACACGGTGGGACACACATGTAATCCCAGATACTCTAGAGACTGAGGCAGATCACTTGAGCCCAGGAGTTTGAGACTAGTTTGAGCAATAGTGAGACCCCACCTCTACAGAAAAATTTAAAGCCAGATGTGATGGCACACACCTGTAGTACCAGCTACTGGAGAGGCTGAGTCAGGATGGATGGCTTGAGCCCAAGAATTGGAGGATGCAGTGAGATGATCACACCACTGGATTACAACCTGAGTGATGGAGTGGGATACTGTCTCTTATAAAAATGTGGGCCAGGTGCAGTGGCTCACACCTGTCATCCTAGCACTTTGGGAGGCTGAGGTGGGAGGATCACTTGAGCCCAGGAGTTTGAGACTAGCCTGGGCAACACAGACACCATCTCTACAAAAAAAATTAAATTAGCTGGGTATGGTGGCATATACCTGTAGTCCCAGCTACTTGGGAGGCTGAAGTAGAAGGATCACTTGAGCCCAGGAGATTGTGGTGGCAGTGGGTGGTGATTATGCCCCTAAACTCCAGCCTGGGCAACAGAGTGAGACCTTGTCTCAAAGAATTTTTTAAAAAAAGAGGCTACTGTGGGTACACTGCCTGTGGGGTAGTCCTGCTCCACAAGGAACAGTTAAGTATAAGAAGTGTTTTATATAGCATTTTTTCATATTTACATTTACTCACCATATGGCTTCAAAAATTATAAACATGCTCAACTAAAACTACAGATCACCATTGTCCTCAATGACAAGTTTTGTATGGTGTACCTTACCTGTAATTCTATTTCCTATGGGAGGATTTAAGAGATGACCTTAGGAACACTGCTTAAAGGGATTTACTTAAGTGCCAACCTTGTGAACGATTTTACCTCAAATTGTTCAGTGGTAAGAAAAGTAATCAAGCATTTAATTTTGCCTTTTACTAGGCTAATGTTTTTTTAACATGAGTTTTTAATTATCAGAATTTACCTGATAAAGACTACTCTGCCAAGATTGTAGTAGGACTTCTGAAAAGAGAACTAGCTTTGTTGCTTTTCACTCAGTACAGATCAGTTCGTCTGCATAGGTCATAAGTAGGTAAGTAGAGCACTCTTGGTGAAGGATTTGTTGTTTTGGAAAGCCAACTATATAGCTGACTGCATGGAGGGAAATCCAAAATCCAGATGACGTGGCATGAGTCAAAGGGATGAGAAACACTGGTATTTTCTTTGCAAGTTCGTTTTACAAAGAGTACATAAAACTAAAATTTTATGAATTATGACTTAACCTAATAGTTCAAGAGCAGACTCAAGAAAAGCGCAGATGTGATTCTAAAAGAAGGCTACTCACATACAAACAGGTTTAATGTAATATGGAATGCAAAAGATTGGAACCATTAAAGTATTTAATTCTTATTTCAACTTTAAAAAATAATTAAGATAAATTAAACAGGATAATGACCAAAATAGTGCCATTATAATCACATTAAAAAGTAAAGCTTCCATCAACATTTAACGAATTTGGCAAATCCAGTAAAACACATTTTTAAGTATTGTATTTCGTTCAGTTTTGTGATATTTCATTTTTGAAAAAACTTATTCAGAAGAGAGGCTTCAGATACCCAGGAAAAGAAAAACAGGGTAGAAATACATATGCTGGGTTTGCTAATTCACTGTTTAAAAAGTATCTTAGATGTCCCACTATAATTGCTCTTAGATGTTTTTAGCAAATGAATAATTACAATTCACAGATAAGACAAGTGGTACTTTTTATCTACATAGATTTATATAAACTTTTAGTAAAACGTTTAAATTTTTTACTTTTAATCTTGTCAAATAATTTTCATTTCTTCTACTTTAAAAGGCTGGCCAGGTTGTTTGCCTGTATTGGGATCAACGATTGTTGGACTACACAATGTTTAATTATAATAACTAATTTATCCAGTCTGACTTAATATGTTGGAAACAATACACCCCTAAGTGTATTGAGATGTTTCTGTGAAACAAAAATATTTAATTTTATGCATGTGATAAGAAACAGCCTTACTCAATATATACTTTTTTTTATGAGCAACACACATAGCAGACATGTAACTCCTTATTACCCATACTCTTGACGACCAAGAAATGAAGCCAAACTTTTAGAAAAATACGATGCAAGAAAATTCAAGTTAAAAATATATTCCTTTGGTTAAAAATCATCCCCTTTATAATATTCATTTGTAATCTAAATTCACAGCATATCCCACCAGCCCAAAGTAATCTTCTAAATGTCATTACACTTGTAGTATTACAATGTTTTTTCAGTCCAGTATTTATGGAGGTCACTCGGCTGTAGCAACAAAACATTTCAACTCTAGGAAGAGTGTAGCCTTGTAGCATTAGCTCCTTTGACAATTTTCTTATAAGACTTTTACTTGAGAAATCTCCGACACATGTAGTTTTCTTCAGATACAGTATATCCAAACTTTTTATAGAAACCAACATTTTGTGGTAGACATTCAAGGGTAATCTTGTAACAGTTCAGTTTCTTGCTAAGCAAAGTAAGGGTTGATAATAACCTGAAATTTAAAAACGGGGAGGGTGAGGAGATAGCATTTATTAATAAAAATTGATTTTAGTAACTATGAATTAATGTTATAAAACTTCAGTTTTCTTAGAAATAGGCTTTTATTATGGCTTTTCCCATTGCATTCATGTAAGTTGATAAGCATTTAAATCACCAAAGCATTAGAGTCAAATATATCTAGTAATCTCCAGCTCACTGATAAATAGGACAAATACTAAACTCCCTCTAAGCCCTCTTTAAAAATGAAATTTAAGGCCAGGTGTGGTGATTCGTATCTGTAATCCTAGCTGAGGCCCAGGCGGGTTGATCACCTGAGGTTGGGAGTTCAAGACCAACCTGACCAACATGGAGAAACCCTGGCTTTACTAAAAATAGAAAAAAATTAGCCGGGTGTGGTGGCGCATTCCTGTAATCCCAACTACTGAGGCTGAGGCTGAGGCAGGAGAATCACTTGAACCCGGGAGGCAGAAGTTGCGGTGACCCAAGATCATGTCATTGCACTCTAGCCTGAGCAACAAGAGCGAAACTCTTGTCTCAAAAAAATAGAGACCAAAATTATTTGGTTTAAGTTATTTAATCTATTTAAACAACTTAGGAGCAGTCAACATTCCCACATAAAATGAGTGTATTTTTAAAGCTACTTTAATATTTATGAAGGTGTGTATCAGATTAACTCAAGATTGGTCTAATTAATATGAACTGGAAACAAATCAAGTCTACATCTATACAAACTCTTTGTGAATCCAACCCCAGTATTAAAGTATGGATCTAAATGCCTTTGAGCATAAAAACTATAAAGATCTACAAACTTGATCAGGCAAAGTGGTTCACGCCTGTAATCCCAGCACTTTGGGAGGCCTACGCGGGTGGATCATGAGGTTTGGAGTTCGAGATCAGCCTGACCAACATGGTGAAACCTGTCTCTAATAAAAATACAAAAATTAGCCAGGTGTGGTGGTGTTCGCCTGTAGTCCCAGTGGCTCAGGAGGCTGAGGCAGGAGAATCGCTTGAACCTGGGAGGCATAGGTTGCAGTGAGCCGAGATCAGGCCACTGTACTCCAGCCTGGGCGACAGTGAGACTCCATCTCACAACAAACTAACAAAAAACAGACCCTGTCTCAAAAACTGAAAATTATAAATTATAATAAGATGCAAGTTCTTATAAAATAGACAATAAATCAGTGTCACTTATTTTAAATGATTTAGATAAACAGAGGAGATTATACAGTGAAGCCTGTTTCAGTATGTATGTCTACAATTTACGAGAATGACAGATCATAGAATATTCTGTTATAGTTCTACATTTCCTTTGTTATTAAATATGACAGAGAAGCTGGGGCAAATCTGATTAGCCCAAAAGTTTGTCTCCTACTATATAAGAGTATTACTATAAAAGTTAATAATTTAAAGATGTACTGTCTGTAAACAAGTATACTTCCGATTTTCAAACTTTAAAGCAAAATATGTATAATACTTTATTTCTTCATGAAATTCAGTCTAAACTATTGGAGTGAGAATGAGTTCAGAATTAATGAAGCCAAAAAGAACTTCAAACAAGTATCTTCATAAGAAACTAAACTGGAACAAAATTTATCCAGGATTACCTTGTTTCTGCCTACTTACAATTTGCCAAGCTGCTTTCCTCTGCATTCATCACTAACGACAACATCTTCTACTCTTCCTCTCTGAAAATATTTACATTGTTTAAAGGAGTAAGCATTTACTTTTGTTTTCAGCTAAAACGGTAAGAATTTACTGATAATAAGAAGTATATTTTGTAAACTTAAACTTCACAGAAACCAAAATGCAAAAAATATTATAAGGTGAAGGCTGTTTTTGTATTTATTTCTATGACTTATGAGAATGAGAGATCACAGAATATTCTGTAATACTTGAACATTTCTTTTGTTTTTAAATACGACAGAGAGGCTGGGGCAAATCTCATCAGCCCAAAAGTTTGTTTCCTACTAGTATAAGAGCACTACTATTAAAAGTTAGTAATTTAAAGATGTTAAAGATGTTTTTACTTATTAAATAGTATGAGTCAACTTGTGGGCTAAACTTGTTTTGGCTATGTCCCTAACCTTCCCACCCCATTGTCTTTAAACAAGTAGAATCAACATCACCAAAATGTTGCCTTTTTATGAATATATCCATCATTCTACTCCTTGCTTAGCAAGTTATTTTAGATAGCCAAATAAAATTAATGTCTAGTACAGAAACCCCACCAAAATTATTAAGTGTCACAGAACACATCCCAAGTATTCCTACCTTATTCTCACTGAATTACTAAAGTTTTCTCTCTTTATTATTTTATGAGTTATTGAGGGCTGAAAGGGCACTACACGCACTAGATATGAGGACAGAATAATAGTCTGAATACCATTTGGAAACAGAAATTTGTGTTAATGTGTATTCAAAGTATTGTTTTCTTAAAAGAGTAACATAAGAGGTTTTGTGCATTACTGCTAAATAGTTTGGTTTCTCTATGGCTATATCAAATTGATTCACCTTACATAATAATTTTAGCATACAATTCATACTGTTAATACAGTTTCTTTCTTAAAGCACCCAGAACACACTGGTAAAGATATTTCTAAGAAGTACTGAAAAGCAGTGAGAAAACAGATTTGTCTAATGGAAACTCAAAGCCAGTTGTGCTAGAAAACACTTGTTCATTTTACTTATAAGCATTACTGTGAGCACATACCTTAGCACAGGAATGGATGAATTTATGTTCTATTATCAGAGTTGCTGTAGCAACGATCTGTCCTAGAGTCACATCTTCTACAACTGTAACATAATAATCCCCAGATTTCTTCATATGCTCAAAAGATTCTGTGGAAATTGGACAACAAAGTGTTATATAGTAGACATTCAACTTTATGAGTTGCCAGAAAAATACTATGATTAGCTGACTTAATTACTAAATATTTAAAGCTATTTTACCATAGGAATTTACCTTCCATTTCTAAAGAAAATATTACCAAGTAGTTGAAATACCAGCAATTGGTATCAATTGGAATATAGCCTATATACATTCGAAATATCCGCTAGCAAAATAAAGACTAATATAGCTGTTTTTAAGATAAGATGATCAGCTTATGGATCAGGAAGTAAATGGCTGAAACACTACTTCCATGACTGACTAATGAACAATTCAATTTCTTCATTTACTTACTTTAGATTTCTTTAACCTTTATACTCAATAGATATTCAAATATAACAAAATTCTGCCCATTTTAAGAAGAGCATGTTTACACGGCTCAATTCTAGAATTTCTGTCTTTGGTTTCAAAATATTTTTACAAAACAGCTTTCAATTTTCCCTTTGTGATCAAAAGTGTTTTGTGATAACATGACTTGCTCTTGTTTGCTTTGAGAGCACCTTGCAAAGGAAGTAAAACATAATCTGCTTCCAAGTCGCATAGCAAATAAGTGCAAAGATACTTCTCAATGGATTTTCAGTACTATTGCTGTAATAACATGGTTTCCTATCTAATTGATGTGCATGCCAGGAGAAATTCAGGAATTAAAACTGAGGCTAATAGTTTTTCATTGTTAATTTCTATAGTTTCATTCCAGATACAGATCTAAAATGGGAAAAAGAGATAAAGTCAATGAATGAAAATAAACAGAATCAGAGAATAATGGCCCTCATTCTCAGGAGGGTCAAATAGAGTTCAATACAAAATTACCTATTATAAGGAAATGAAGAATTATAATTCCTCAGCTATTAAATATTACTAAATATTTAGTAATGATGAATTAATAATACTTCATTACCATTATAATGGGAAAAAGCAGTGTTAGTTAAAACAGGAGAAAGCAGTGGTAGAGCACTGGACAGAATTAACGTTTTATTCCTCTTCATAGCAGTAACTCCCTGTGATCTTGGGTAAGTCTTTGGATCTCTAGTCTAGACTCCCATTTTCTCATATGTCTAAAAGAGGGGGGTTAGATTAACTCTTAAGATACCTGCTAACCTTACACTTCAATACAAATAAACCTCAAAATAAATTTAAAACGTATGCTCTTACATTTTTGATTCAGTAATAAAATTTCTGTAAATAACCAAAATAAGGGAAATACTACAAAACAAAAATCTCTAGAGCAACCACCTAGGTCCTATTCTACAGTAATTATCTAATAAAGTAGTCAGATATTTTGCAAAACAAAGTTACTGGTACATTTGGAATTCTAGAATGACTCAGCCACATTAAACATTTAAATAAGAAAATAGCTAATTTGTTGTTTGAATAATTTCCAGCTATTTGAACAAAAACAGAAGTGGCCACTGAACAGCTCTAAACGAAAATGAAATCAGGTTTCCCTTTATTTCAGGAAAAAGAGGCTATAGTACTTACTCATAAATTGTTCAGGGCTGACAACTCCAGTCTCTGTTAGCTGACCCAATACCTTAAAGAAACCTAGTTTTGAAAAACAGATTTCAAATTATGAGAAGAGGAAAAGACAGAGTATGAAAAGAAGCAATATGTTAAGCAGGTGGGCTTATGGGCAGTTATTCAGAACTTTCCATAATCATCTTTTAATTATTAAAACAAAGTGAACCCTATTCTTCTGTAATCACTACATATCACAACAACAAAAATAACAGGTTTTACAATGCTTTTACCTGCATAAGATGTTTTATATAGTGCTGACCTGAATATCTAGTATTTATAGACCCAGAACAAACATTTTTCAATGTTTTATATTTTACATTAAGTTCAATAAAAAGGATACCAAATTTTTCCAAATATATATGTGGTTTTATTTAAAGGTGCAATATGGCCAAATACTATATCTGTAAATTAAAGTATATGTAACATTGTTGAGATTACACTCTTTAAAATAGTAAATTCTAGTTAATTTCACTAGTGTTATCTGAAATTAATGTGAACGCTATACCTGGAATTTTGAAAATCCTTTTTTTTTTTTTTGAGATGGAGGCTTGCTCTGTCGCCCTGGCTGGAGTCCCAGTGGGGCAATCTTGGCTCACCGCAACATCCGCCTCCTGGGTTCAAGTGATTATCCTGCCTGGGCCTCCTGAGTAGCTGGGACTACAACTACAACCTCGTGCCACCACACCCTGCTAATTTTGGTATTTTTGGTAGAGACGCAGTTTCACCATGTTGGTCAGGCTGGTCTCAAACTACTGACCTTGTGATCTGCCTGCCTCAACCTCCCAAAGTGCTGGGATTACAGGCATTAGCCACTGTGTCCAGCTTAAAATCTTAACTTTACTACACTCAATCATCAATTAGGCCAAAATTAGGTCCTTCAGGCTGTCTAGCAAAGAGAAAATTGTGAAAAGTACAAAGCTGACTTTTAATTACTAAAGTTTAAGGAAGTTCACTTGGAAAATTTGGAGATTAAAAAAAAAGAAATGTGTAGAAAAACCCTTTAATGTATCCAAGGAAAATTATTTACACCTTAATTCCCCAATCAGCTTCTTAAGATTCCTCTTTATGTGTCATTATGCAGGATAATTTCATTTTTGTTAATGGGAAATCTTGGCTTATTTAGAAAGGAGTGATGTTGCATTTAAATCATTTTAAATGTTTCATAGTAATATTTGGTCTTAGTCATGAAACATACTCATTGGTATTGAGTGTCCGTCACTTTAAAAATTAAGAATTATATGAAAAACGTACAAAAGTCAAATATTTAAAAAAAATTATCCACATCATAATGTTCATAGAGAAAATGGAAGGGCTAACTCTAATTTTAGGCAAGATTGGTAACTGAGTACATTACCTCTATTTAAATCAGCAGTACAAAGAGGCCTCAAAACCAAGCCTTCACCAGGATGTGTTGGGGAAATGGCTGGAGAAAATGTAGCTGTATTCTGACTCCAGTCCACTTCTTTGAGTAGACTTGGGTCAAACATTGGAGTTTCATCAGGTTTCATCTTCCTAGTAAGTTCTAAAATAAGAATTTAAATATTAACTCATTTAATAGAAGGAAAATTATGATTGTCGTGAAAGTTAATATAAATTAATGCAATTAGAAGCATTCCTTTAGCAGATATTCGAGATATTTTACTGCAACCTGTCTTGAATCTAACATTAAATACCACAACTACAGATAAATGGAAAAATGCTTACTATCAGATAGAAAATGGATAAGTGACTAAATTAGTAAATTTTAAACTATAAAATCTCATTTATTATCAGGTTTTTTTTTTTTTTTTTTTTTTGGGACATGGAGTCTTGCTCTGTCACCAGGCTGCAGTGCAACCTCCAGTTCCTGGATTCAAGTAATTCTCCTGCCTCAGCCTCCTGAATAGCAGGGATTACAGGCACCTGCTACCATGCCCAGCTAATTTTTTTTTTTTTTTTCAGATGGAGTTTTGCTCTTATTGCCCAGGCTAGAGTGCAATGGCATGGCCTCAGCTCACCGCAACCTCCACCTCCTAGGTCCAAGCAATTCTTGTGCCTCAGCCTCCTGAGTACCTGGGATTATAGGCATGTGCCACCACACCCAACTAATTTTTTGTATTTTTAGTAGAGATGGGGATTCTCTGTTAGTCAGGCTGGTCTCGAACTCCTGACCTCAGGTGATCCGCCTGCCTCAGCCTCCCAAAGTGCTGGGATTGCAGGCATGAGCCACTTCACCTGGCCAATTTTTTATATTTTTAATAGAAACGGGGTTTCACCATGTTAGCCAGGCTGGTCTCAAACTATTGAACACGCAACCTCAGGTGATCAGCCCACCTTGGCCTCCCAAAGTGCTGGGATTACAGGCACGAGCCACGGAGCCCGTTATTATCAGGTTTTTTGAAACATGTTTTTTCCTCTGGGTTGATGCTACTAATGAATAGCTGACTTTTCATGGGCTCTTAAATTTTTTACATTATGTCCTTGGATTTATTATTTTCTTTCTCTCTTTTTTTTTTTTTTTTGAGATGGAGCCTTGCTCTGTCACCCAGGCTGTGGTGCAGTGGCACAATCTCAGCTCACTGCAACCTCCGCCTCCCGGGTTCAAGCAATTATCCTGCCTCAGCCTCCCAAGTAGCTGGGACTACGGACACCTGCCACCGCACCCAGCTAATTTTTGTATTTTTAGTAGACACGGGGTTTCACCATCTTGGCCAGGCTGGTCTCGAACTCCTGACCTCATGATCCACCTGCCTCAGCCTTCCAAAGTGCTGGGATTACAGGCATAAGCCACCGTGCCTGGCATGAATTTATTATTTTCAACAGGAAATTGCAAGGGGGAAAAATGTATATATATATAAAAAAAGTAATCTTAGTCTTCCTTGCCACTAAAGAAAACTTACTGGACATGTAGCTTTAAAATAAAAATGAATCATGAACAGAAGATAACTGATGAACAGGCTCAAATTATTTTCTGTATTCTCAGAAATACTTGACCTTGGCCATGATAGATATACACTAAGAGTGTTGCTGAATTTTGTTTTCATAGCAGGTTTTCTAAAAATCTATTGTGTGGGCCAGGCACGGTGGCTCATGCCTATAATCCTAGCACTTTGGGAGGTGGGTGGATCACCTGAGGTGAGGGTTTCCAGACCAGTCTGACCACCATGGCGAAATCCTGTCTCTACTAAAAATATAAAATTAGCCAGGTGTGGTGGTGGGCACCTATAATCCCAGCTACTTGGGAGGCTGAGGCAGAAGAATCACTTGAACCCAGAAGGTGGAGGTTGCAGTGAGCCAAGAGCACACCACTGCACTCCAGCCTGGGCAACAAGAGCAAAACTCCATCTCAAAAAATAAAATTAAAATAAAAATGTATAGTTTAAGTTTCTTGGTTGCATCTAAGCAGCTTGAAAATAGCCAGTGTTTTCCATGCTACTGAAAAGTGATCATGGTATTTCCCCCTCTATTTTGAACATTTAGAAATGATTAGGTTCTCACTAGTTGTAGTGTTTTAAAACTGAGACTAAATAACAGAGAAGTAAATGACAGGAAGGATGAAAAACAAATCATATAAAGCATAAAATGGATCAGGGGCCTTCTGTGGAGCACAGAATGGCTAAAAGAAACAGATGTTTCCCAACAATTACAAGTTGAGTATCCCTTATCCAAAATGCTTGGGACCAGAAATGTTTCAGATTTTGGATTTTTTTCCCCAGATTTGGGGATATTTGTATATATATAATGAGATATCTTGGGGATGGGACCCAAGTCAAAACAAAATTCATTTGTGTTTCATATACACCTTATACACATAGCACAAATATTTTATACAATATCTTAAATAATTTTGTGCATGGAAAAGTTTTTGTACGTAAATCAGGTGTGCAATTTTCCACTTGTGGCATTATGTTGGCCCTCAATAAAGTTTCAAATTTTTGAGCATTTTGGATTTTTGGATTAGAGATTAAAAAAAAAAAAAAGCAGCCTCTAATTTACTTTATACTCAGTTAAAGAACTCCCTCTCTCTCTCTCTCTCTCTCTCTCTCTCTCTCATATATATATATATATATATATATGTATGTATTTTTTTTACATATTTTGTTTATTTATTTTTTTGAGATAGGGTTTTGCTCTTGTTGCCCAAGCTGGAGTGCAATGGCAGTATCTCAGCTCATCCCAAGCTCTGCTTCCCGGGTTCAAGTGATTCTCCTGCCTCAGGCTTCCGAGTAGCTGGGATTACAGGCATGTGCCACCACGATAGCTAGTTTGGTATTTTTAGTACAGACTGGGTTTCTCCACGTTGGTCAGGCTGGTCTTGAACTCCTGACCTCAGGTGATCTGCCCTCCTCGGCCTCCTAAAGTGCTGGGATTACAGGCATGAGCCACTGACTCCCTCCCTGGCCCAGGCCAAGAAACTATATTTTAATGAGAGAACAATTTGCCCAATAACGGAACTCCCAATTGTTCCTTATTTCATAAGTCACAATATGCTTTAGGGCATATATTCCTAACTTTTTGTTAAACATGGATACTAAGTTTCTTCGTGTGTAATTCTATGTAACTGTATAAATAATGCTGCAATATAGTTAGTTATGGGAAGATAATGTGATGTGATGTAACAATAGAAGTTAACACTTGCTCAGCACTTATGTGCCAGACTGTTCAAAGAACTTTAATAGTTCATTTATTTCAACCATCCTACAGGTTAGGCATGGTTATTATCTACATTTTAATAGGTGAGAAAATGTTAAGTAACTTGCCCAAGGTCACAAAATTCTGAGTCAGGATTTAAACCTAGGCATAAAAGGAGCATGAACTTTGGAATCAAACTTGGTGTTCAAATGTTAACTGTATAATTACTAAGGTAATGAGGTTCTTAAGTTCTAGTTTCCTTATTTGTAAAGTGGAGATGAAATTATTGGAAGAATGAAATGCATTACTGTTGCAAGCAAGCACTTAGCAGTGCCTGGCATACTGTTAAATACACAATAAGATAAATGCTAACTAGCAATAAATTTAAAATTCAAGTTTATAAATTCTTGTTCATTTTTTTCACCTTTAATTCATGAATCGGGCACTGTTCTCCGTACAGGGACTACAAAAAAAAAAAAAAATGACAGGCACTTATGTCTATGTTAAACCAAAAGTTAGCATTCTTGGATAGAAAAGAATAACAACATAATTTATAATGTAGACTGCTAAGAAATCCCCCCCCGCCCCGCACACAAAAGGATTCAGATCAATTTATGCTGCATGCACTGTACCTAGTTCTAACAATATTAAGGAAAATGTAAAAATTGTCATGATCAAACAAAAACTTCAAATTTAACAACTTGACTATCCATTCAAAATAAGATTTTTGTTTTATTCTGTTTTGAGACAGGGTCTCACTCTGTTGCCTACGCTGGAATGCAGTAGTGCAATTCATAGCTCACTTGCAGCCTTGAACTCGGCTCAACTGACTCTCCCACCTCAGCTTCCCAAGTAGCTGGGACTACAGGCTCATACCACCACACCTGGCTAATTTTTGCATTTATAGTAGAGAGGGGGTTTTTGCAATGTTGCACTTGAACTCCTGACCTCAAGTGATCCTCCCTCTTCAGACTCCCAAAGCTCTGGAATTACAAAAGTGAGCCAGCACGCCCAGCCAAAACATGTTTTTAATAGATGAATTTGAGTGATGTGTTTTAGTGTCTGTTCCTGGTAATTGGACCCTTGAGGTTTTTGTGTGTAATCTCATCAGAAAGGTGGGTAGCAACATTGTTTTTCAGGTATATAGATAAACAGGCTAAATATTTATTAATAAAGTGAAATGTGTATAGTATTAAAAATGTAAATTCCTCGAGGCAGCACACTATTGAAACATTTTGGACATGCTATTAAACATAGTTGTAAGTACAAAGTATAAAGAAAACTCAAAGAGAATTTGTCAACATTAACATTTAACTAGATTCCTTTTTCCTGTAAAGTTGTCTGTGTTTACAATAAAAATATAGTCTAGAAAACATGAAAAATAAGGTTAATAATTTTCATGAGGATAGAAGTATACAGGAAAACAACTAGGATTATGGAACCCTTAACTAATGAATTTTAACAGGAAGTACTAATATTTTCCTGTACTTTAATGAGACGGTCCTATTCCATGACTGATCATAAAAATACATAATATTGGCTAACACTTACTGAAAGCTTTCTATATATTAACTCTTAAAAATACAATGAACGATGTATCATTATTATCCCAATTTTACAGATAAGGAAGCAGGAACAGTAACTTGCTCAAGGTTACAGTGCCAACCAGGGACAGAGTGAGGATTCAAAATGAGGCAATAGGGCCGGCTTCAGCAGTCCCTGACCTGTGCCATTACACAGGGCACTGCACTTAGTTTAATACCCTGCTGCCACTGTTTTGATATTCTTAATTTTTTAACAAAGAACCTACATTTTAATTTGGATTATCACAAATTACATAGCCAGTCCTGCTAGGTAGTATGACTTCAGACTCTGCTCTTAACCATTATTACACCGAAGATGTACTAAAGTAGATAAATTCCCTACCTTATTGATGTACAAGAGTTAAAAATTAAGTCATAAGCAGCACTTAGAAACATTAAACAAAGCATTCCAGATTGAAATAAGATTCTGTTAACCAAACAATCAGAAATAAACATCAAAATTGTTTTTATGAGCTACTTTACAAACAGTCATTCTGAAGGCCCACTTTATCCTCAAACGGTAAAATTCTCCTGGTGCCCAACTAATATACTGGACAAGGTAAAGCAAAATATGACTTGATACTCGGATCCAAAGGGTTTTAGAATAATCTTTTAGCCTCTTCAGGTACCCCAGATACTGCAAAACTAGGAAATTTCTGCAAATAAAATTGCACAATTGCTTGAAGCGGAAATCTCATCATATCATTAGGGTCTTTAAAGTTTCTAGATTAACTTTAAAAATAAAGAAAGTAAACACTAACCCTCCTTAAGTATTCCTCAGAACCTTCTCTGATTAACTGCTAAATTAGCACACATTTAGAAGACACGCTTATGCCTAACCCTAGCCCAATAATGCCTAATGAATGAATAACGAATAAGACTTACCAGTAGGTCACATTTCAACAAATCCAGGACAAAAAAAAATAATAATAATTAAAAAAATTCCCAAACTGCCTCAAGTAACATCACAAAAAACATACACCAAGTTCATTTTTACTAGTCATCACATCAATTGAATATTTTTTCACTAAATTGAATAGTTTTTAAACAAAATTTCAACGATTTGGCTTCCAAGCCTCAGACTGGAATATGAGCGGGGAGAGAGGCTGCTGCTAGAAGCAAGCAACTGAGAGCAACAAGTAATAGACACCGGAGATGAAGATTTTAAAAGTCGATCTACAAATTTTAAAAACATAATCTAAGGCCAAATCTAAACCTGTATATAAATTAAACCTAAGCCTATATATTTCTCAAGAGCTTCTAGGGCACCCTCTAAGTACAGATGAATGGGGAAGGGGGGCACTTCGGATTCCTTTACATACATTTTATAATCAGTTCCATAACAAGAATCCATTCTGAATTAATTTTGTTAATGATTTTTAACACACCTGGCCATATTTATTAAATTCTGTAACGAATTTAATAAATATGTAATTTAAATTACAAATAAATTTGTAATGGATTTTCTAAAGTATTTTCTGATAGTTTATTTGACCTTTACAATCTAGGCGTTATTTCCAGTCTACCGATGAAGAAGCTGGAGCACCGGAACTCCCAAGACTTGCCCCTCTAGGTAACACAGCAAATAAGTGACTTGGGGTTAGAATCCTCTGGTTTTCGCATCTTGAGCTCTACTACGATCCTCAACAGACCCCAATCTTTACATCATTATACCATACATCTAGCTCTTTCTCACCTATTCGGCAAATCCTGCCTAAATAAATTTCTTGAGATCCATTCTAGTATTCGTTCATGGGGGATTATCCTAACAAAACGAATCCTATAATCGCCCGTTCCATTTTATATGAAAATTTTAAATGTTTGGCTTACATAAACATTAGCTCCTACAACAGAAATCACAGTACAGTACTCGGTGTTTCTAGGGGTAGGAGCCTAGGTGAAAAAAAAGAGACAAAGGATGTCTCTCAGTAGCCTGGGGAAAGCGCCGACCTAGTCCGTGCGGAGGAGGTTTTCGGAGCAGCTGCCTGTCTCAGTGGTTCCAGACAACCGTCGTATGCGCCCTGAAATGGAAGTGGGGAAGGGGAGAAGGGGCCTGGGGCGTTCGTCCTCATTCAAAACCGATGGCTGCAGAGAGCGCGACCAACTGTCTCATTTTCCACGCCAAAGCCTGGGGAGCGAAGTTCCGACCTCAATCCCTGTTGCAGCCCTGCCAGGCCAAGACCCGCGCATGGCCGGACCGCTGGCCATCATCCTTAACCTCTGCTCCAGGTGCGCGTGCGTTCAACTTCCTGGGAACTGCGCTCCACACCATGTGCGCCCAGCTGGCGAGGATCAACGCCCGGCTCCTCCACCCAGCACCCCCAGGGGCCTCACCGGGGCACCTGACACACCTGTTAGATAAACCTGAAGGCAGGCCCGCCCCGGCCCTAGCGACACACGGTCCCCCTCTCGCCACCCGGCCACGGTCCCTCCTCACCCGTAGAGGCCCCGCAGTCGGCGCTCCTAACCAGGCGCGTCGGACTCTCCCCCACCAGGGTGCACAGCACCGGATCCGGATCCGGCTTCAGCGCCAGCCCCACCTCCTTCTCCACCGCCCGCGCCACAGTCGGTAACCGCGGCCCAGACGTGGCAGCGCCAACGCCTCCACCCCGCCTCTGCCCCCTCACGCAGGCGCCACCCGCCCAGGCCCGGCGAGCGAGGGGAGGGGCCCGGAAAGAGGAGGCGGGACCGGGAGGGTGAGGGGCGGGGTCCGAGGGGCGGGGGCGGGACCAGGAGGGTGAGGGGCGGGGTCCGAGGCACGGGGGCGGGACCAGGAAGGCGAGGGGCAGGGCCTGAGGCTTGCGTCAGTGCCTGGGGCGGTGGCCGCCGGACCAAAGCTGGGCTCTCCAACTCCTCCTCCTCGTTCCCCAAGGCCTTTCCCACCGCGTCATTGTCTTGGTTTATCTGCAGGTACGTATACCAAGCAGTCAGCCCAGCAGCGCGAGGGGTGACCAGTGTGGGCCTCTTTGATTCTGAGACAGAAGGCTCGACCACTGGCCCTCTCCATTTGTCCCTTGTTGCCCTCCCCTCATGATCCAATCAATTAATTAGGACTTTTCCTACCAGCTGGCAGCTCAGAGCTCCGTGTCCCCAGGCCTCTGAGTCACACAGTTCCTGCCTTCATGAAACTAGGAGTTGAGGCCACCGCATTCTACTCCTTCGGGAATATTGTTTCATTTCTCAGTCCCTCAGACCCTTAGTGGATGAACATGGAGTTAGGACAGTGGTTCTCAACTGCCGCAGTTTTGCCTCCCAGGAGATAGTAGGCAATGCATGGAGCATTTTCACCCTCTCTTCCGGGGAGAGGTGCCATTGGAATCTCCAGATGGTGGAGGGCACAGGTGAGTAGAGTCCGGGAAAACTGCTAAACGCCTTACAATGCGCAGAACAGAGCGCCTTACAACAAAGAATTACTTGGCCTGGGAGGCTGAGGCGGGTGGATCACCTGAGGTCAGAAGTTCTAGACCAGCCTGGCTAACATGGCAAAACTCTGTCTCTACTAAAATACAAAAATTAGCTGGGCGCGGTGGCATGCACCTATAGTTTCAGCTACTCAGGAGGCTGAGGCGGGAGAATTATTTGAACCCAGGAGGTAGAGGTCACAATGAGCCGAGATGGCGCCACTGCACTCCAGCCTATGCAACAAGAGCGAAACTGTCACACACACAAAAAAAAAGATTTGGCCTGAAATGTCTGGAGTGCTGAGGCTGGGAAACCTTTTGCTAGGAGAAGAAGAGTGACTTTTCTCAGAGCCCCATTTCTGAATTGCCTTAACTAGGTAGCCCTTTGTCCATATTTTAACAGATGAGGAAACAGAGGTTCAGAGATGTTACATAATTTATAAAAGTCTCTGAGCTAGTAGCTCCCCTTCCTTGCCTTGCACCATAATTTTCAACTTATTGAAATCACAAAGTGTTTTATTCTTAAGCAACAGTATTCAAAGAATTAATATAATATAACCAGAAATTATATTTTTGGCTCATTTTTGAGATTTAAATTTCAGTTAACTCCTTTACTGACTTATGCTTTCTCAGAATTTCAAACATCAGTGAGCTGATGGCATCCACATCTCTGTTTTTACACCCATACATGCAAAAGAATATATAGTGCATAAGCAGAATGTGGTGGTGTGCATCTGTAGTCCCAGCTACTCCAGGGGCTGAGGCAGGAGGATCACTTGAGCCCATGAGGTTGAATCCAGCCTGGTCAATAAAGCAAGACCCTGTCCCTAGGAAAAAAAATATATAAGGCATAAATAAAAATAAACACTCATGAGCAGGCATGGTGGCTCACATCTGTAATTTCAGCACTTTGAACTCTTGAGCCCAGAAGTTCGAGACCACCCTGTACAACATGGCAAAAACCTGTCTCTACAAAAAAAAAATAAATAAAAATTAGCCAATCATGGTGGCATGTGCCTATTTACTCAGGAGGCTTAGGTAGGAGGATCACTTGAGCCTGGGAAGTAGAGGCTGCTGTGAGCCATGATTGCATCACTGCACTCCATCTGGGCCACAGAGAAAGACCCTATCTCAAAACAAACAAAATAAAAAAAAAAAAACACTTATGTACACACCACTAATCTTAAACATATGGCCCTCCCTGTTTTTCTCATCAGACTTCTGGTCAAATGTTTTCAGTGAGTTTCTCCTGTACAACAAACTCCTGCACATTTTATAAATTAGCAAAAAGTGAAACATGGACAATTATAAAATCACAGAACACAAGACTTGTAAGAGGTACCCCCAAGAGATCTCATGCATTCCAGATATGCTCTTTCTTACCTCCATTGGGCCGAGAACCCAATTTCTCCTTAATAGGCAGGGTCAATCACTGGCCAGTAGAGTTAACCCCTTTCTTTGCCTTTAGGTTCACTTGGCAATGAGGAGCCCAAGATAATCAGGAGACAGTCTCAACATCTGGTTTAATGAAACCACTGGTATGTCCTTTGGTGATTTTTATTTATTTTTGTAGATTCTTATAAGAAATGCTGCATTCACCAATATTCTTAATGGCACAGATAAGGCTATTATGTGGACAAACATGGATATCAATTACTGAGTTCAGGAGTGTTGGCCTGAATAAGAAGTTTAAGAATAACTTAGCTGGGTACTGAGTCATGCCTATAATCCCAGCACTTTCAGAGGCCAAAGTGGGTGGATCATGAGGTCAGGAGTTCAAGACCAGCCTGGCCAACATAGTGAACCCCTATTTCTACTAAAAATACAAAAATTAGCCAGGTGTGGTGGTATGCACCTGTAGTCCCAGGTACTGGGGAGGCTGAGGCAGGAGAATTGCTTGAACCCAGGAGACAGAGGTTGCAGTGAGCTGAGACTGTGCTATTGCACTCCAGCCTGGGTGACATCTCAAAAAAAAAAAAAGAAAAAAATACCTTAACCAGTTTATTTCATTTATATTTTCCTCTTAACGTTTGCACAGGAATTAGATATAACAATCCATGTCTAATTAAGTATTAAAGAGTTGTTTCACTAGGTAGTACAAGTTCCAAGTGATATTATAGTTTTAAATTAGTCACATTGTTTCTCTTAGTGGTATATACATTAATAGTGTGTCATACAATGGATGTGTCTAAGATTTGATGAAATATGGTACATACATAATATGGTCTTCAAGTTATAATTATCTGTTATGGTTTTAATGTCCCCTCCAAAACTCACATTGAGATGTAATTGCCATGGCACAGTATTAAGAGGGTGAGGCCCTTAAGGAGTAATTAGGTCATGAATGCTCTGCCCTTACAAATGGATTAATGCTGTTATCATGGGAGTGGGTTCCTGACAAAAAGGATGAGTTAAGCTCTTTCCTCTCTTGCTTTCTCTTACACCACTTCTTCCAAGTGATGCCTTCACCCATGGGGTAACCCTCAACAGATACCATGGTCTTGGACTTCCCAGCCTCCAGAACTGTGAGCCAAATACACTTCTTTTTATTATGAATTACCCAATCTTGGGTATTCTATTACAGTAACAGAAAACAGGCTAAGACATTCTCTAAACATGTTTATAAATTATTTCATTTGATCCTTATATGAATCCTATTACATAAGGTGGGCACTATTTTTCCCTAATGCAAGTGAAACTCAAGCAATTTTCCTTTTCTTTTTGAAACAAGATCTTGCTCTATTGCCCAGACGAGTACGGCTGCACAATCTCAGATCGCCTCAACCTTTGCCTCCTGGGCTCAAGCAATCCTCCCACTTCAGCCTCCCAAGTAGCTGATACTACAGGCATGCACTACCACATCTGGCTAATTTTTTGTAATTTTAGTAAAGACGAGGTGTGCTCAGGCTAGTCTTGAACTTATGACTAGCCATGAGTTCAAGCCATCATTTGTCCACCTCAGCCTCCCAAGTTACTGGGATTATAAGCATGAGGCACTGCACTCAGCGGTAATTTTTCTTTTCTTTCTTTTTTTTTTTTTTTGAGACAGTTTCGCTCCTGTTGCCCAGGCTAGAGTGCAATGGTGCAATCTCGGCTCACTACAACCTCTGCCTCCTGGGTCCAAGCAATTCTCCTGCCTCAGCCTCCTGAGTAGCTGGGATTACAGGCATGTGCCACCACACCTGGCTAATTTTTTGTATTTTTAGTAGAGATGGGGTTTCTCCAGTTGGTCAGGCTGGTCCTGAACTCCTGACCTCAGGTGAGCCACCCACCTCAGCCTCCCAAAGTGCTGGGATTACAGGCGTGAGCCATTGCACCCGGCCAATTTTTCTTTCTTTCTTTTTTTTTTTAAATGAGTGAGGCTGTGTGTCTGTTCTTGTGCTACTAATAAAGACATACCCAAGACTCAGCAATTTATAAAGAAAAAGAGGTTTAATGGACTCATAGTTCCACATGGCTGGGCAGGCCTCACAATCATGGTGGAAGGCAAAGAAGGAGCAAAGTCATGTCTTACATGGAAGCAGGCAAGCGGGCATGTGCAAGGGAACTCCCCTGTATAAAACCATCAGATTGCCAGGCATGGTGGCTCATGCCTGTAATCCCAGCACTTTGGGAGGCTGAGGTGTACCAAGCTCTACCACAGTTCAGTGGTAGAGACCCCCACCCAGGTGGCACTGAAGGAATTGAGAAGCAGACAACCAGATAGAACAGCAAAGTGGGACTATCCAGGGGGCCAATAGCTTTGCCAGCTGAGAGCTAAGGGGGCTGACAGCATTCTGGGCTAAGGGCCTGAAGCGGATTCTGACCCATTTATTCTCTCTGAACAGGTGATGATCATTAACAAACAGATGTTTGATATTTTCTTATAACACAAAAATATACAGGTAGGCAGCTGGTGTCTGCTTACCACTGATCACAGACAAACTAAAAAATATTCTCCATGAAAGAGCCATGGGGGCAGGGTCACATATCCTGGACTTAAATAATTGTTTTAACTGGTATATGATATTTATATTTTGTTCTGCCACTTTAGAATGCCCCAAGTAGTTTTCTACTTGGGGATGGGGGCAGCTAGGTTTTCCTTACCATCGTTCTTCCTAACAAACAATATATTTTATCATACACTCAGCATTTCTCAGCAATCATAACTCAGCATTTCTCAACAGAGGCAGGTGAA